TAGCATGTACGGCTGCAGATCCATAGGCTCTGGATTCGAGTCCCAGTTCGGGCCAAGTTTAGTTATTGAGTATTTCTGTCGAGAAATTCACAGTAACAGCCCAGAGTTATGGCATAACGAACAACAGAAAATTGCACAAGAGGCGGCCAATAACGCTAAAACAGAGTTTTCCTCCAGACAACCTTTAGGAGATGGAAATATTAAGATATGATATTATAACTTATTTTATTTTTATTTATAGAGCACACTAACAATACACACATAAAACATTTCTGATAATCTTATCAGTAATATAAATTAAGTACCTAATATGTATATCTATTACAAGTGTAAAAAAAGTAATAAAAGTTAAAAATTAATTACTATCTGAATTTTAATTTATAGCCTACGTCTAAAAACAGAGGGTGAATCGTGAACAAAATGTGCTTGGTATTGATTTCTGAAGATTATTATATTTAGCACAAATACGTAAGACAGGGGCTTGGCTCCCCAGCCAGGTTAGATCTCACTCTAGGCATGAAAAATATATTATGGAGCTTGTTCCTATTACTTAGTTAAAAGCCAAGCTAACGACACAGGGGTTTGTAGAAATGAAAGGCAAATCTCACCGGTGGCCCCAAAGAACATGTTGAAGAGCTCCTCAGCAGTTAGGTCGGATTCGAACCCACGAGCGTAGTACTGGTGGTGCTGGTGTGGGGCGTGCACGGGTTCATCCCCGCGCAGGTCGTACTGCTTGCGCTTCTCTGGATCTGTTAGTATTGCCGCCGCGTTACCTATTGCCTGTTGGAGGAATGAATATGAATTAAATATTAATGAAGGGTCCCATAGCAGTAGCTTATCCCCGTTTTTCAATTACAGAGCATAATGCCGCACTTTTTTTTTTGGGACATTAACACACAGCACCATCCAGTTCCATGGTAAGCTACGAGACTTGTGTTATGGATACCGGATAGTTGATACACTACACATAATATATAGCTTTAAATACATACATATTATAAATATAAATACCCATGACTGAAGTACAAACATTCTTGTTCGTTACACAAATGAACGCCCCTAGCGGGACTCGAACCCGCGACCGTTGGCACAGCAAGTAGGGTCACTACAAACTGAGCCAAACGTGTCGTCAAACTTTGGCGCACAAACACGAACAACGCGAAAAAACACAGGTTATATTTTCTGCTAATGAGTTGGTTGGTGTGACCAAAGCAGTACTTTACAAAGTGCTCGATTGTGCGGAGCGTTGCTGTAGTTAAAAATTTCAAGTTGAGCATTATGCCGCATAATGCGCTCTAATGCTGTAATTGGAAAACGTCCTATAATATGTTACTCCAAGCCTTGCTTAGCCTATTTGTGTACTAAGTTTCATCCAAATCCGTCCAGCAGTGTTAGGGAGAAGGAGTAACAAACATACACGCACAGACACACAAACAATCTTTCGTAATTATAATTAATAGTAACCCGGTTGTGTTTAATTTAAATTTAATGAATGTATTATGTATGTTGTTCCATCATTCAAAAATTGATCTGATTTTTTGCATGGAGGTAGTTTTATGGTGTGGACTGTGGACTGTGCCACAGGATAAATTAAACGGTATATTTATTCCTGTGGATTATACAGATATCAGTTTTAAGTCATTGGGCGTTTGTATGGGAAATCAAGTGTAGTGGGTTCAAATCCCGGGTCACCTTTGATATTCTCATGTGCAAATCATTTCCGACATGACCACCACTCGTCTTACAATTAAAGAAAATTTATTGAGGAAATCTGCATATCTGAGTTTTGTGAGAACCTAGGAACCTTTTAAAAGACCCATGAGCCCGCCGACCCGCACTTGGCCAGCGTGATGGACTATGGCCTGATCCCTCTTGTTTTAAAAGGAGGCTCGTACCCAGAAGTGGGGCATTAAGTTAAAGACTAAATATATATATATTTATATTGTAAGTCCGTTATAGTTACTTTAAATGCTTCCGCCGCTCCTGGTGCATGGTTCTTGTCGGGATGGAGTTGAAGAGCAAGTTTCTTGTAAGATTTCTTAATGTCAGAATCTGTTGCTTCTTTGGTCACTCCTGGAAAGCATAAGTATGACATTAAAATGTTAATACAAAAAAATAAAATTGAAGTGTCTGTGTGTGTAATGTCAAAATAACAGCTTTTTACTAAATGCATATGAAAGTATATACGGGTACTAATAAGAAAAACTTTTTTTTTTAAATTGTCTGTCTAATTGTTCCAGCTTATCTCTGAAAAGGCTAGACTGATTTCGAAGAGACTTTCACTGGTAGATAGCTGATGTTATAAGGATTAACTTAGGCTAGTTTTATTTTAGAAAAAGAATTAAGGTTGTGGTCAAAAAAAATAAAACGTACCTAAAGACACACCCGAGGGAAGCGAGGGTAACTAGCTTAATATATAAATAAAGATGTGAAAGTTGCTTTGGGCAGAAAGAACCAGAAATCATAACACTTTCTTAGATTTACGCGAAATTATGATATCTATACATATAATAAAATTGTAACTGAGTCGAATCTGTACATTAAATATTTTTTGGAAAATCTCATTGAAACAGACTTTATTATCGATACAGAGTCCGAATCTATAGTTTTTAGAATTTTTGTCTGTCCGTCTGTCTGTTACCGCATCACGAGAAAACCACTGGACAGATTTTAATGAAATTTGGTATGATGGTAGCTGGTTATTCGAATCAACATATAGGATACTTTTTATCGCGGGAAAATATCTCATTTCTGAGAAAAAATACAAAAACTGCAATGTAAGAGTTATACTAATATGTAAAACCTAAGAATTTGGTTTTTGGTCATCTGAACGCGGGCGGAGCCGTGGGCTACGCTAGTATATAAATAAAATTTTAATATCTTTTTGTGATTTGAATACAACCAACCAATATCCCTCTTGTCTTTTTCATTTTATGTGACATTGACAAAGTAATCTATGCTCAACTGGCACGCTTTGAAGACATTAACGAGAGAATTGAATTGTGATTTGAAATAAAGCAACCCCATGTAGATAACAAACTTTGTTAACTGTTTTTTGAAGTTATACTTCTTTTGGCACTTCTGGAGAAAAAATATGAAAGTTATAAGTTGTAACATATGGGATGAAATCTTTAGCTATTTCTGTTGTTCTGTTACACCAAAGAAGTATAACTTCTTACGTGCATACATAAGTATACACACACTTTTTTTATAGTTATTATTACTTGGTTTTCTATTATTTGCGTTAAGAACATAATTTTTTTAAAACAAACGAAATTAATGATCCCAGCAACATTCAGTATAACTTTTGTATTCGTCATTGAATAATTAATTTTATGAATACATACATTTTTAATGAGAATAAAAATGAGTAAGTTAAAGTAATTTATCATGTTATTTTTTTCATATATACAAATAAATTATTTACTAGCAGCAATTGTTGTATTCAGACAACTAAATGTTAAATATTCTAAAAATATTAATGTTGCACCTATATCACGTTGATTCTTATGATTATATCAGGACTCTTTACACATGCATGTTTATGCAACATTTCATCACACTTTCGTATTTGTATAAGTAATCAATGGTTATTTTTATAGATATGCTAGTGACAAGAAGCCAGTGACATTGATATGAAACCTTACTTCGCTCGGGTGCTTTCCTGTGCACATAGTGTTGCTACAGTTTAATATTGTTTTTATATAGTGCGGAGCACGCAAATAAACCCCCACTCAGCACGATTTTGTCTTCTTCAACTGTCATCGTCATATTTCAGCCAATTTACACAAAACCTTAATGAATTATACAGATGAGCCTTCCTCAAGACTCACTCCTTCCATTGGTGATAACTATATGAAAATCTGTTCAGTAATTCTTGAGTTTATCTCGTTCAGACAGACAGATGCAGTGGAAAAACTTTAACATGTAGTGATTTGTAATGAAAAAGTAACTTTATAGTTAAATCATATGAATTGTCCTTATTTATTAGGGAACATAAGATATTTAAAACAATTATAAATGCTAACAATAAGCAAATGATAAGGTTATTGTGTAATAATACAATAGATCTAATTCTTGCTTATGTCATAATGAGTTGACATTGTGATTTTTTTTGTTATACATAAAACTGACCCAAATAATAAACTGGCCTTGAAGCTATTTTTGCACTTACCTAGTATTTCATAGTAATCCTTGCACTTGGTGTTCACCCTGCGGACAAATTCCAATTGTTCTGATGTATATTCTCTTTGTGGAGCCTGGTGGGTTGGTGTTTTCCTTCGTCTTACCTCCTCAGCGCTAGGGCTGCTCGGGGGTGTACGTTTAGGTACATTTCCCGAAGCGCCTGCAGCCCTAACTCGGGTTAGGAGCTCTTTAGCACGTGCAGTTGGGTATAATCGTTCGGCTTTTTGTAAAAATCGTTCTGCTTTTTCTACATTTCCTGCTGCAAAGGCATTTTGCGCAATCTCTATACACCTTTCAGCGTCGTCCTTGTTGCCTTCGATCGTCATTTTCTAGATGTTCCGACTTGTTTTGCAAATATTTATTTACACGTAATCCAGACAGATTGTTCGGTAACTGCCTGGTGTAATAATTAAATTAAATTAGCGTAAATTAATTTTATATTTGATCAATCATTATTACTAAAGTAATGCGTCAATAGAGAAAAATAGCTGTGTTGCCATTTTTGATTTAATTTGTCTTATTATTTATCAACTTGCTGAGGAAGCATACAATCTTGTCTTTTTACAATTTTGCACGTAACATTAAATAATATAAATTGAGATATAAAGTGATTACTTGAGTTCTTAATTATAAATTGTCACTAATATATTCATATTATATTAACGAAGTGACTATTTGTACGGGTACTGGACGAATAAATTATATTTATTCGTACATTTATTTGGATGATTAGCTAGTTTTTAAGAATGAGTATATTCATACGGATATTATTTTTTTTATTATTAAATTTATTACTAATACTTATTATTTTTTTTTAATCGATTTGGTTAGGTTAGGTTAGGGTTTTTTTTTGTACCCCCCCAACGTGCGTTCACCTTGTCGTGGTGGGGGGGCTCAGTAGTAGTAGCGAAGCTAAGAAACGCACAGGGAGGTTGCCCACTTCGGTGGGCGGTGGGAGGTGGCCCTCTTCGGGGGGCGGTGTACCTTGCGGGTTGCTCCTGGTACTTCTCTGATAGCAGAGTGGACCTTGGAGCAACCCATGGTTGTGGTGGTCTGCTTTGGCAAACCTGCCGTCGGGGCGTCGTAGTTGAATGCGTAAGCGATCCTGCGACTCCCCATTAAGACGGGGGAAGGTTTTGTTGGGTTTTAGTGGGTAGTACTGGCTGTATTACGCCGGTGAGTCCCACACGTCGTGCGTAAATACATTTCTCAACGTTAAAAAAAAGGGTTTTTTTTTGTAATCGATTTGGTTAGGTTAGGTTTTTTTTTTAATCGATTTGGTAAGGTTAGTAGTAGTAGTAGTATTTAATAGTATTAAAATCGGCAAACATTTACCATTATTTGGTTTAAATTAAAAACAAATAGAAACGCAAAATTATTATTTTTGTAAATTTCCACTCTAATTGATAAAATAAAATTATTCGTCCGACTTATGTACGAATAATAATAAATTGTTTGTCCAGTACCCGTATTAATAATTATAAATTTTTCGTACGGTAACCGTATTAATAGACTCGGCCTTATATTAATGTATTTACTACATATATTGAATTTATGTTAATTTATAATTAATAATCAACTTGTTGGTGTTGTATTAATATTATATTTTTATATCCAGCACAACGAAAAAAATACCTCCGTTAAAACAGCAATTGATATTTATTTATTTTTTTAAAATAATTACTTTCTAAATTCTACTTGACTTTTATTTTATTTAAAAATTTAAAGAAATATCGATTTTAAAATCGAGTCTTAAAATTTTGTTATGGGCAATTTCCCTAAAATCTAAATAGCGCAATGTTTTTTCAGTTGCCGTCATATGACGTATGACGCATTCTAGTGTACGAATCAATTGAAAACTATATTTTAGTAGCGCGATTGAGGCGTATCCTGTTTCTAAGTGCAATTTTATTTGTATTCTTACATAACTATCAAGAAATAATACTTTTGGAACTACAGGAATTTCAAATTTAACAAAGATATGGCTTCGGCGCCGATATACAACCCGGTGAGTAAGAGTGAAATTTTGTGAATTTTAGACGATTGTGTTATAACATTGTGTCCTATAGGAAAATGTTTTTTTATTACGTCTTTCGCGAGTCCAAGGGCATGGCATTGATATCAGTAGTTTGTCAACGTTGTATGCTAAGTAAATACAGGTAAATTATCGTCTCATAATTACACTATATAGGGATGGTGTTAAAGTTCTATTAAAAATTATTGTTCAAGGCTTTTTTCGTATATATATTTTTCACATGAAGTTTTTTCTAAATAAAACCTTTTTCCTTAAGTAATAATTTCAGTGGAAAATATACCCAAAGTCCAAACCTATTAGTAATCAGTTAATTTAAAACTAATTAGTGTTAAGTCAACAAAGATATGCAAGTAAATTTGACCCCAATATGCTTTATGTTTATATTTATAAATATATATATTTAAATAGCTATTTTGATAATTTTACAAAGATATAATAAAAAGTGCAACAATTTCCTGTTAGACTTGAAACTAGATTACAGACTATATAAATTATTATTAATAATTAATTCTTCAATAATATTACACTATTACAAAAGGGCAAAAATTATTTGTATGTAAATGAATCAAGAAAAAGATAAAGATGGAGAAAAATGTGATGGACAATATTATTTATTCCACTTAGGGGCCATTTTTAACCATAGGGGTAGGGGAGGGTAGCACATAAGATTTTTCAGAGTCCCTCTCCCCCTTCTTATATAAGATTTTATCTGGTTTTAAAAAAGAATCAATTGCACTAAAAGTCATGATTTGACATTAATCAAAGATTTTAATTTTTGAAATTTTATATGAAAAAAGAAAAATAGATGTCAAAGTTGTATTCCCCAACACTTAGCTCTCAAATATCCATCTCTATGTTAAAAATTGCATATTTCTCCAGTGGCAGGCCTGGGTGGTACAGGAGGGTATGATCCCACCTGGATTGTTAAAGCACAAGGTGGCTTGGTATTCAAATACTTCAACTGGCATTAATGCTCACTAGGGAAGCACCCTTCTTTTGTGCATCAGGTTGCTCATCGAGAGCTATTGCAGGAACATGAGAGTGACGTGGGAACTAATTTATTGAAAAAAGTGAAAATTTCAACTCTACCTCTTACGGTTCATGAGTTACAGCCCTCTGACAGACGGACGGATGGACCAACAGTGGACGCATAGTAATAGGATTCCGTTGGCACCATTCGGACCCTAAAAAGGCAAATGCCGTCATATAAAATTATGTTAATTATAAAATAAATAAAACTTGATATTTAAAAGACCAACTATGAAGTTACTCGCTTGTTCTTCTTTGCAAAACTGCTTCTTGAGCCGGCGATAGCTTCCTCACGGACTGACCACGTTGACGCTCTTTAAACTATGTCTATACATATAATAAAATTGTAACTAAGCCGAATCTGTACATTAGATATTTTTTGGAAAATCTTGTTGAAATAAACATTATTATCGATACAGAGGCGGAATCTATAGTTTTTAGAATTTTTGTCTGTTATTGCATCACAGAAAAACCACTGGAGGGATTTTGATGAAATTTGATGTGGTAATAGCTGGTTATCCGGGTCAATATATAGGATACTTTTCACCATGGGAAAATATCTCATTTCTAAAAAAAAAACTAAAAACTGCAAAGTAAGAGTCATCAAGAAAATTTATAATATATATATACTAATATGTAAAACCTAAGAATTTGGTTTTTGGTCATCTGAACGCGGGCGGAGCCGCGGGCAATGCTAGTTGACTATAAAGCGTCGTGTGCATTGGCCCTTAGATTCAATATGTAAGGATTTACCTTTAACCAAAGGGTATAAAAACCAGAAACCCATTTGTACTTTACCATATTTAACTCACTTTCACTTCATTTATCACTTATTTAACATACCTTATCATAATTCATATTATAAGAATTTACATTATGACATATTTAATTTTCATCATTACTTCAACTCGCTCCAGTGAATACACTGACTTTCTGTTTACAAAATACTTGTTTTATATCTTACAATTTTTTTACTTCCACATATTCCATTTGACTCCAAATAATAGTGATAACTACATTCTATTCTCATACTAGTAACAATTATTGTAATTTTTTTAGGTTTATAATGATGATTTTAATTTTACTTCTTATAGTAGGGGAGCCCAAGAGGGGATTTTCTGTAGTTACTCGAGCGCGGCAGATTAACATAAAAGAGGTTACCTTGCACTCTATTGAGTACTTTCACCACAATATAAGTCTTCTATATAAAGGGGCGCGTCTAGGGAAGCCGATTAAAATATTTAAAAAATGTTTTGATAAGGTAGAAATACTTGAAACCGTCAGATTAAGGTGTGGTAGGCTAGTCACATCCTGAAAAGTGTCCAATTCAATAATCTGCCGATTTGCACAAGCCGAAGAGGCAAAAATTGACTATAAAGTTTATGATGATGCTCTTGGGCTCCCCTACTATTATTATTATGTATTACTATCAATTTCTTTTGTATTATGACATTTATCTATAATAATAATTATTATTATTTTTAATTATTGTACTTTTAATACATGAATACTTAAATGCTATTGTACCCTTATAATTTACATGCATATAAGGTATATTATTATTACATTAATTAAATTGAAAATGTTTCATATGTATGTTGTAAGTGTGTTTTTTACAAATAAATAAAAATAAATAAACTATTCATGATATTGTTAACAAATGACTTTCCTTTATAGGTAATACCATGTTTGCATCCCATCCCCGGTGGCATGTTTCCTGGTCGCATGATCAGGATCCAGGGTTCTGTGCCCCCTGGTGCCCAGAGGTATGTACTATTTATATTTTTATATACTATATATGTACATATTATGTACTAAGACTTCCAAAACTATTTAAAACCAACTATCCCACCCATAGATTTTGTATGAATTTTTTGTTGAAATCAATAAGGAACACCCTTGAGGTACTCTATCTATCTATTTTTATTTTTTATTCTTATAAAAAAAACAACCCTCGAATTAAGTACATCATTCTTTTATGTCTTAGTCAAATATTGTTTTTTTAATATATTAATTTTTTTATGTATTGTAACAGGATGTTAATTGTTTGTTATACAATAAAAAATAATAAAGCTAATACATATATGATAAAAAAAATCCTTTCGGGGAGTCCCCGTATGACAAATTTAAAGTTAGTTGGACAAACAAAGAAAGCTATTTTATGAATGAATTGTGTAACTTACACTAGTTATTCAAGAGCTTCCTTCCCCTATAGACTCTATGTCAGTTTCTTTCTTAAAGGATCGTGAAACATACTCAAAGTGCTTGGAGCCATACCGGCTATAACTATTATAAATGTTTAATTAATTCGGTTCTTCTAACGTCCCACTGCTGGACAACCATATGTCAATACGAGTGGGATTAAGTAGGCAATCAGAGGTCTTCCGACAACTTGTTAGATTTTGTCAGATTTGCAGAAGCTCTCACGATGGTCTCCTTCAGCATATTTGCCTATATCCTTTGCTAGATCCAGGATTGAAGCCGCTTTGCTTAGTTTCTAGTGCGAAACCAATGTTACATCTGCTATTAAGAAATATTTATATGAGCAATATAAATAGCATCTAGCGAGATTCGAACCTGCGGCCAGCTAGCCCAGTTATTCGATACTATAGAAATTATCTTCTATCCTTATATTAAAAGTCTATTAGTTACATCTTCTTATAAAAAATGATGATGACGTAAAAGCTTTGTCTTTCAAAATGAATACTGATAAAACAGGGGACGGCAACCTTTTTAGCGAATGTTTTTTTTCTTGTTTCTTTAATGGAGCTCTAAATGTTGGTTTTTACGTTAAAGTTTGTAATTAATACATAAAAGTAGTTTTTTTTTCTACGTACCGTATACCGCGTGTAGAATTCGTAAACTTCATTCATTTCGATTTTCTTTTACATTTAGGTTCGCTATAAATTTGCAATGTGGACCAAACACAGACCCTCGCGACGATATCGCCTTGCATCTCAACTTCCGCTTCGTCGAGATGTGCGTGGTCCGGAACCACCTATCGACCATGAGCTGGGGGTTGGAAGAGACCAATGGTGGCATGCCCCTGGTCCGGGGGGAGGCCTTCGAGGCCCTGGTGCTGTGTGAACCTCAGTTGATGAAGGTAAGTCTAGAATTTAGATTGCTGTAGTCACCTAATCTACATATATGTACAGGTGTCTAACGAAAGTTCTAGATAAAATAATCGTGCAGGGCGTGAGCGGGGACGTTCCCGAACCCGAGTGTCTTACGTAAATGACGCTCGGAGAGAGGGGGAAATCAATCACGTGAGCTGTTTTTCTTTAAATTTGGACTCCTTTGGTGAGATTGAGTGAGATTTTCCGAGACGCTTCCCTTAAGTGAGAGTTACGCTATAGTTAAAAAAACTACATTTATTTTCATAAAGTATAAAAGTAATACAAGGTTTAGGAATTTTTTTCAGTGGGCAAATAAGGATACTTAAAAGAAATGAAAGAAAAAAATAATAATTAAAAAAAAAATTCTTTTCGCTCCCTCAGTTTAGAATTTAAATGAGATTTGATGAGATTCTCCCTATTTTGAGATCACGTTATAACGTGTACGTGACGAATATCTATAAATACGCTTCATGTACTCCTCTAGATGTAACCATCTATACTAATATTATAAAGAGGTAAAGTTTGCGAGTTTGTGACGTTGTAGGGGGTAATCTCTGGATCTACTGAACCGATTTAGATGAAATTTGGTAAAAAGATAGTTTGAGTCCCTGGGAAGGACATAGGATACTTTTTATCCCGGAAATCGGCTTAAGGGGGTGAAAATGGGGATGAAAATTTGTATGGGGAATCAAGCTAGGGACGAACCCGAGCGAAGCGAGGATGAGTCGCTAGTAAATATATTTATTTTTTAACTAATCGCTATTTTAATTCGGACTTTGTATCGATACATAATTATGTTTGATCATTAATTAGGCAATTAATCGATTTATCGATTTATTTATAAATATGTTCTAATTGTCGATTTTCATGTCTAGACGCCTTCATTTGATTAAGAGACTTGATAGTGTTGTAAACTGGTTTAATTAGTTCCAAAAATAGTCTTTAGATTTAACATTTATTACAAAAATATGTTCAATTTGGATTGAATTTAAAATAATCCACTCAATATTGGACGTTATTATAAAATGAACCGTTCATAAATGAACCTATTAACCTCCACCAATATTTCACTTAAATCTATACATATAATAAAATTGTAACTAAGTCGAATCTGTATATTAAAATTAAAAAGGTAGGTTTCATACCAACTTTCATCCGCTATTTTACCCCCTTATGGGATGAATTTTGAAAAATGCTAGAACACGTATTTAATTAATTGTATTGAAGAGTATTAATACCAAGTTTCAAGTAATTTTGATCATAAATATTTTTTTGGATTATATTACAACGTGTTTTCCCGTGGGAATTAGATAATATCCCGCGGTAAAAAGTAGCCTATGTAACTCTCCAGCCCTCCAACTATCTCGACACAAAAAAATCATGCCAATCTGCCAAACCGTTTTGACGTGAAAGAGAGACAAAAACACAAACACACTTTCACATTTATAATATTAGTATGGATATAATAGTTTTACAATAATGTATGGAAGTCTGCCCGATTTGTTGACAATTATGATTGCTGCTCCGCTCCCTTGTGTAGTATAGCATGTTGATATATAGCCTATAGCCTTCCTTAATAAACGGGTTATCTAATACAAAACGATTTTTTCCTGAGATTAGCGCGTTCAAACAAACAAACTCTGCCACTTTATAATATTATTAGTATAAATATAAATACGTCATAAAATATTCCTCCTCCGAAAATTTCCGGTTGAAGGATATCCTGAGTTTGTCACAAATTAATGGGTCACCACACTATTTGTCCGTGTGCGGAATATTATGTGAAACTGCCTCGGTGGTTTAGTGTCTACTGTATGGACTGCTTCGCATCCGGAGGTCCTCGTTTCGAGTCCTGGTTCGGCCCAATTTTAGTCATTGGGACATTGATAAGGAAATCCCAGTAAATAAATAATAATAAATAAATAAATATGTTGTGACATTAACACACAGAACCATCTAGTTCCATGGTAAGCTACGAGGCCTGTGTTATGGATACCAGATAGTTGATACACTACATATATATAACTTTAAATACATACATATTATAAATATAAACAACCATGACTGGAGTATAAACATTCGTGCTCATCACACAAATGAATGCCCCCAGCGGGACTCGAACCCGCAACAGCTGGCACAGCAAGTAGGGTCACTACAAACCGAGCCAAACGTGTCGTCGAAGTAACAGCCCGTAAAGCTGTCTTGCACCTGATCCCTCACCGGTCGTGTCGAATTATCGTCTCAGCGGTATCTGAGAGTGAGAGGAAGAGGAAAAGCACGTTGTATCTGCGCGTACACACTACACATACACACGCGCTGCACTATAATTATCTCCTGCGCAGATACTGAGACAAGCCAGTCTCGGTGAGATTGGTCGCAGTAAGCATAAAAGGGGAAAACCATAGATTATTTAAATTTAGGTTATTCTACTCGTAACTAGATATATTGAAATCATTATAATTACTCTAAACTCTAAATTTTTAATATTTTTTTTTGTACGACAATTAAAATTTAACACCAAATTCCTTTATGACTGTGTATCCACTGTATATATTTTTTTAAATAAAAAAAAATTAAAACCATAGACAATAATATGTAGTCTCCATAAATTATTTTTATTCAAGGTGGCCCTAAATGGGGCACATTTCTGCGAGTTCCCACATCGCATCCCATTCCAACGCATCTCCCATATCACCGTCGATGGTGACGTCATGGTACAGTTTATTGGCTTCGAAGGCGCTGAACCTGCCCCCGCCCAGATGTACATGGTAAGTTCTAGATATAGTCTGGGTGAGTCTAGGTCTAGGGTAAGTCTAGGTCTAGACCTATAGATAGGTCTAAGAGGTTTTTTTTTATATTTGTGTATTCAACAGACGTTTGTGTCGTTGTTTTATTGATTTGATTTTTTTACTGTGCTTGTTCACTGTACTCGTATAACTTACAGCAATAGAGATAGTAAAATTATTATAGCATTTTTATTGAAACCTTTTTTTTTGGATTTTTCTTTGGTTTTTTGTAAAGAAAATATAATAATAATAAGCGACCCTAATTAAATAATAACAAATTGTAAAACTGTAGCAACACTCTTTCACATTAATAATATATGAATTTTGTGGGTAACATTGTATGTAATAACCATATATGTTCGAAACATTAAGTCTAAAATCCAAAATAAAACCACGAAGAAGTCCAAAAAAAAATTTTTTTTATTTAAAATGTCAAATATTCGCGTAAATCTAAGAAAGTCTTATTATAATATGCTGAAAGTAAAGTATGGCGATGTGTATTTATTTGTGCTTATACAAATAAGTTACAATAACTACTTATATGTATGTATTTACTTTCTGCTATCTGTTGCATATATTATATTATTTTGTATCCTACAGCTTTATGCCATGCAATAACTAAGTTAGGTCTAGGTCTGAACTTTGCATTTACAGTTATACATATATCTATTTGCTAAAGTCTTACGCTAGACCTAAGCAAATAGCTGACCGACCGTTTAAGATTTTATAATTGGAATTTAAACAAGGAAGGCTTTTAAAAACATCTTTTTTTTTTGTTTTGGCGCTATTATAAAAACGGCACAATATGTACATACATACAAGTGGTTTCTTTGTTTTTATATTATTTATGGTTATTAACAAAAACTTTAAAGTGAAAAAGAAAAAAAAATGTTAAAAAAATTAAAGAAATAATTTGGTCTAATCAAGTATAAGTCGGACTTGCGCTTTCAACAGCTATACTTTTGTAAGATCATATTTAATTATATATTGTGTAATGAAAGCGATGGCTAAGGGCGAGTCCGACAGTAATATTTTATGATTGAGACATTTTACAATTAGAAAAACGCAAAAAAAATTTTTTTTATAAACATTGATATACAAAAACTCAAGATACACACAATTAGTGTGTTAAAAGTGTCCTCAAAAAAAGCGCACAATATCGAAATTGTGAGCTGTTTTCAAATTTTTTTGGTTCATTGCTTTTCGTATGATAAAATTAAAACGCACGTTGTTTCGTTTAAAAATGTACTTTATGTGGTGTGCGTAAGTTCGAATTTGTGTTTAGACAATTGGAACTTTCGATTTTTGAATGTTTATTCTTTGGTTTGACTTAACGTCACATGTCGACGACACTTTTTGAAGAGATAGGTATATGTTAGGAAATGTATATCTATGTTTTTATATATCAACAACGGCAAAAAAAAAAATTATAAATCAATTTTTTTTGCCGTCTGTTCCATTTTTCCATTCAGCAAATATTTTACTTGTTAGTGTATTCGTTTTCGCTTTATATTTTATCTTTTTTTTTGTTGTTTTTTATACATTTTTTTTAACAGCAATCTCAACCCCCGGCCTACGGAGCGTACGGGGCTCCCCCGGCCTATGGGGCCCCCGGGTATGGAGCACCGCAGGGTAAGTAAATAATAATAAAAGCAGGGTTATTAAATATAAGGAAATAAGATTTTATCTGAAAATAATACCTGTATACTAATAGTGTTTTGTGTGTTGTATAATAATAAAAAAAAATATTGACAAATATTTTTGTCTTTAAAATGTTTTAAAAACATAAATTGACCTTAAAATTATTTTTTATAGAAAAAAAACTATATAATTGACAGATGCAATACAAATGAAAAAATATTTGAAAAAAATATATTTGTGTCAAGTTTTTTTATTACACAACACAATAAAAACTTTAATTTGCAAACTTTTTTTCTTCTAACATAACTCATACTTTGGCTTAATTTTTCGACTGTTTTTTTTGTGTAATATTTAACACTAGCATTGCTCGCGGCTCCGCTCGCGTTCAGATGAACAAAAACCAAATTCTTAGGTTTTACATATTAGTATACTCTTACATTGCAGTTTTTGTATTTTTTCTCAGAAATGTAACATTTTCCCGCGGTAAAAAGTATCCTATATTATAGCAAATATTTTATTAAAACACTTTCTTCTCACTTTGCTACTACTATGTCTACACTAAAAAGGGAAAAATAAAAACTTTTTAACAAAAAAATATAAACCAACTTCAAAAAAACCACTAAACAGTAAACAATAACTGATTGGTACTTTTCATTTACTATACATACCTAATCAAATAGATTCGAAGTCGGTGCCAGCCGATACAAAGCAAAGCGCACCATATTAGAATATTCTTACATTGCAGTTTTTGTATTTTTCTCAAAAATGAGATATTTTCCCGCAGTAAAAAGTATCCTGTATGTTGACCCGGATAACCAGCTATCACTATACCAAATTTCATCAAAATCCCTCCAGTGGCTTTTCTGTGATGTGGTAAATGATAGACAGACAAAAATTCTAAAAACTATAGATTCGGCCTCTGTATCGATAATAATGCTTATTTCAATAAGATTTTCCAAAAAATATCTAATGTACAGATTCGGCTTCGTTACAATTTTATTATATGTATAGATTGTAACGGTATTTTTTGCTTGCATTGCATGTTCTGGGAGCATTTATAAAGTACTTAAAAAAATGGTTGGGATATAATGTTAGAGGCTTTTGGTCGTAGAGCAATTTTAATTGTAAATATATTTTTTTCATTTAATTTGGAACATTTTTTAATAGGCTTTGCATTTTTTAAGACGTTTTTATTGGCTTTATTTAAACTAACTGTATAGGAATAAATATGAGATATCAATTTTAACCAACGTCTAACTATCTAACTTTGTTAGAATATGGTATTCTGATAATTGAGCGACAAGTTGACTTGGAAAGGCTTTTAGTGATTTTTTTTTTTGAGTTTTTTAAGCTCATTTGATCAAAACACATGGTGAAAATTGTGCTTTCTATATTATTTACACTTTTAGTTTTTTTTTTGTAGAACACGAGAAGATATACTTAAAAAAATGATTATTATGTTATATTTTAAATAAAACTAAATAAAATATGTTTAAATTGAATTGCTCGATATGTATTTTATATATATTATATTTTTGTTTTTATTGAAGTGAAAACTTGTATAGGCAGGTTAGTTTGGATGGGCGGTAAATTCATGTAAGTCGTCATCGACATGGTCACGTGACGTGTTAACGCTAACACTCAGTGTCGATAGATTTTAAAGACCACACAATTAATTAGAATATCCAAAAATAACAACTGTTTGTTTATAGTTTTAAGTTTTCACTTCTGTCGGCAGTCCTCATCATTGCCTTTTTTATTTTTTAAAACATGGCGGTATGGGGAGTATTCGCTATTTGCATGACGCTTTATTTTAATAATATTTCATATTACTAACAATACTAACAAATAATATAAATCGCAATGTGTTTAATGAGTTGTGGATTTTTTTTTTGAATTGGTAAGTGGTGTACTATATTTTTTCATATACTTGTATTTTTTTATCTGTGGTAAATTTTTTTTTTCAATTGTCATTAAAAAAGTTTACATATTAAAAAAAATATGAATATTAAAAATCACTTAGATTTATTTAATGCTACATTATTCGGTACTGATAATATTTTAATTAATATGTCAATCTGTCTATTACGGCGACAGCTCAGTGATGGTGGATGACGTTTTAATTTTTTTTTAATTTAATTCTGATGTATGTATAATGTGAGATATTCGAAATCATTTAATCAAACATTTTATAAATTAGCTAATTTGTTTTTTTTTAATAGGTTTAAAAGTTAAAAAAAAAGAATGAGTTTGTTTTGGTCTGGGAATTTACGTATATGATATTTTTATTTTATTTTTGAAAGGAATCTTTAAACTTGATTACGATTAGGGCAATAGGGGAATATTTTAATAAAATAAATATATAAAATTCTTTAAACAAAATATAGGTTATTGTTTGAAAGAGACCAGAATTTCACTTTTCTCCCCGTTCTAATAAGTAATAACTAAATAGAACTACCTTTTCGTATGTTTTCCGGAGACTGAGTCTCCCCCGTGACCATGATTGCTGTAAAGCATTCGAAACGTCGGGAACCAAAAATCAAAATAAATCCGCGAAAGTATCCGAAAAGATAGTTTTATTTAATACTAGCGACACACCATCGCTTCGCTCGGTTTCGTCCCGGCTTGCTTCGCGATACAAACTTTCATCCCCATTTTCACCCCCTTAAGAGATGAATACCGGTATAAAAATTAATTAGTCTCAAACTATCTTCTTACCAAATTTCATCTAAATCGGTTCAGTAGATCCAGAGATTACCCCCTACAACGTCACAAACTCACAAACTTTACCTTTTTATAATATTATAGTATAGGTAGATGTCAAATATTCGCGTAAATCTAAGAAAGTATTATGTAATAACTAACCATGTTAATATATTTATGGATTTTATTTTTCATTATGTATTTTATTTGGTATTTTCTATTCGTGTTTTTTATTTTCTATGAAAATTTTTTTTATCTCTAGCAACATTTTCATTTTTTTTTGCAGGCTTCTATTGAGAGCTTCCGTACATTAGCGGTTGATACAGGTTTTTCGTACGTATTATTTTTATAAGCGTAACCATTTTTGAAATTGTAATATTTTTTTCAATGAATTGTTTTATTTTCATTTTTTTTTCTTTTTCACTTTATCTAGTATATATATACTAATTAGAAGAATAAGTTTTAACACAAAGATTAATTTACTTATAATGTTAAATCTGAATTGTTATTAATAAATAAAAACTAAATATGTTTATTTTGCTTACAGACACATTGTAGAACAGCGCCAAGGGAATCAAAAATGTTTGCTAATCTGCGTAAAAGAAAACGTTTGTTTCTTTTTTTATTATTTGTGATTTTTTTTATAGTTGTGTTGCTTACTGGATTGATATTTACATTTACGTCTATATAATATTAAAAACAAAAAATAATATTACATATACATAAGCATTTTAGTGTTTTTTTGATTGTACGTTTGTGTTTTAATAAACAAAAATAGCACAATTTTCACTTGTTCTAAATAAATGTGATATAAAAATTGTATAAACTGTTAATGTTTCACGAGAATTTATGAAAAAAAAATGCCAAAAAAAATATTTATAGCCTTTTTTTAATTAAAAAAAAATATGAGCCTTTTCAGTATAAAAGTTATATAAGAAAACATATTTTAGTAAATATAATAATTTTGGTATTTTTTTTGCTAATAAATATTTTTGACAGCTCTAAAGGCTTCTATACAAAAAAAAAATAATTAAGGATAATTGATAATAATCTCAATATTAGTCGTTTTCTTTTTTTTTTTTTTTGTAATGTGTCGCTTTAGCATTGATACAATAATGTTATTTTAAATGTAACTGTTTCTCAAAATGTAAGTACTTTTAAGTGATTTAAGAGGTTTTTTTTTCTATAATTAATGTAGGACTGTCACTTATTTTTTTTTAAATAAAATATTTTTTCGGAATAATTCGCATTTGATTATTTGTTCCCGACATTTCGAATTCTTTACAGAAAAATGGTCAAAACAAGTTTTTGTCGTCTTAAAATAATATGTTTTAGACTTTCAAAGTATTATAACATAATTTGTTAGAAAAGAAAAATGGCACCGAAGTACCTTACCATTTTTATTAAGTAATAATAAAAAAAAATTAATTAAGGTTGCTATTGTACAATTTTTAAATTACTTGATCTGGGTTGCTATTTTAAAGATCTTTACAATTTTTTTATACAAAATATGGCTAATGATGGTTGCTATATAGAGTGTAAAAAAATATTAATTTTATTTACGGCAATTATTATGTACATACTAAGAATCTAACCTCAGTCTCTCCCGTGACCATGGTTGCTGTAAAGCAATCAAAACGTCGGGAACCAAAAATCAAAATAAAAATAATAGTTTTATTTAAAATGACAAGTATTCACGTAAATTTACATAAATCAACTAAATCATCTTTAGTATTATCGTTTGGATGCTTTTAAGTTATAAAAAGTTCTAAAAATTAATAATAATTTTTGTGTAAATTGAAATTTTTCTTGCAAAATTTTTGAGTTATGACGTTTTTCTTGATATATTTTGACTTGTGACTTATGTCTGTTTGTCGTTTATTAACAATTAATATTTAATATAGCATTTAAGCTTTGCCTTAAAAGTAATTTCTTTTTTTTTTTCTAGTATTTATCGTACCACAGTTTATATTTTATCGTTGCATTTTTAGATGTCATATGTAATTTGTGATGGTTAATAAAAAAACTTTTTGGATATTCTCGTTGTATTTTTTATCTCACATGCGATATACGAATAAAATATATTTATTTAGAAAAAGTACACAAACACACATATTAAAACATTTATATATATTTAGAAGACGATAATAAGTCATCAGATATGTGTATGTCTTTGTAAGTGTACATAACATTCGCTATAATTAAATAACCAAAAGTATGAATTAAATTATAGTAAATCACTAATATATAATTAATATAATATAAAAATGAATCGCTGAATGTGTTGGTAAGAAGAAAATCTCAAGAGTAGCTGAACCGATTTCGCTAATTCTTTTTTTTAGAATATTCCTTGAAGTACGAGGATGGTTCTCACGGAGAGAAAAATTTTAAAAATTGCCTGAAAACCTCTAAAAACAACACTTCTATACTCCCATATAAAAGATACGTAATAATACTTAAAAGTCAATTTGAACTTTAATACCATAACATAAAGTTAAAGTGTTAGTGGAGAGGTTCCGGGAAGGCAAAACAATTGAGTGACGTTAGTATCATATAAATATTAATGTCAATATTGTTAACAAAAAAAATGTATATGGCTAACGCTGGCTAATAACTATTTATATCTATTTGAAACGTACCTAGCGACGAACCCGAGCGAAGCGAGCGTGAGCCGCTAGTAAATACAATAGAAATGATTCATTATAAGTCAACACTTGTCAGCTATAACAAATAATTTAAACAATATAAGTCAAATTAAAAATCTATTTAAATAAAAATTAATGACCGAAATGTATGTACGTACGCGCACAACTTCCGATCGACCACCAAATTGGATAATTTTTTTGTGTTCGTTATTGTCAGAACAAGTTTGCTTTGCAAGTGCTTTGCTTTGTATCGACTGGCACAGACTTCGAAAATATTTGATTAGGTATGTATAGTAAATGAAAATTACCAATCAGTTATTTTTCCCTTTTTAGTGCATTTGTTTGAAGTCGGATTTTATTTTTTTGTTAAAAAGTTTTTATTTTTCCCTTTTTAGTGTAGACAGTAGTAGCAAAGTAAGGATTCTAACGTGTTAGGCTTGTCAAATCAAACAAAATAAGCCCAAACTCAAAGTATCTACTATTAGCCGTTGAAGAGTTCCACCTATCCACCTTCTGGCCTTACCATCAGATCAGGTCAACAACACCGAACCACTGTACTATCAACGGAAATAGAAATACTTGCAAAGTTTCAAGTCAATATGACAATTAGAAGTAGGTTAAATTAATCATTAGCTGTTTTTCCACCCTTAAGGATGGTTTTTTTTTTGAAATTTAAATGGGACCAATCTGGAAGTATACACTTTCAAACAAAACAAAAATTGCCCAAATCGGTTAATAAATGACGGAGTTCTGAGGTAACAAACATAAAAAAAATACAGTCGACTTGTGAACCTCCTTCTTTTTGAAGTCGGTTGATAATAACTAAACAGTACATGTAAAATTAAGTAAATCAATGGAGTCAAAATAAGTCAACTTAAATACAAAGTCAAGTTAAAGATTAATCGAATAATAAAAAAATTCAAAATCAAGTAATTAATAAATATAATTTCAAACAGAAAAACGTTTGTTCAATAAAGTTATTTCTGTAATGCCGTTTGTCAAAAATTCTATCAGCAGTTTGGAAAAAAAATCAGCCATACGCAGAACTGCCAAAAGACAACGGGACTATCCATACTAATATTATAAATGTGAATGTGTTTGTTTGTTTGTGTTTCTTTCACGTCGAAACGGCTTGGCGGATTGGCGTGATTTTTTGTATCGAGATAGTTGGAGGGCTGGAGAGTGACATAGACTACTTTTTACCGCGTAAGATTGTTTCTTTCCCACGGGAAAACACGTTATAATACAATCCAAAAAAATATTTATCATCAGAATTACTTGAAACTTGGTATTAAATATAAATGCTCTTCAATACAATTAATTAAATACATGTTTTAGCATTTTTCGAAATTCATCCTATAAGGGGGTAAAATAGCGGATAAGAGTTTAGAGTGTATGAAACCTACCATTTTAGTTTTTTTTTGTAGTTTTAGCGCAAGCGAAGCCGCGGGTTCTGGTAGTAGTTTATATTTTTTTAATATCAATTTTTTTATGGCAAATTGCTCAAAAAAAATTTGGGTAAAAAAACTGAATGTAAAAACTTACAAAGTTAGAAATTGTAATAATATTCTAATTTTTTTAAGTTTTTATTCGCAGTAAATATAAAAGCAAAGGCATTACAATTTCTAAATTTGTAAGTTTTTATATTCAGTTTTTTTATCCAAATTTTTTATTAGGGTATTATTTATTATTTATTTTTTCTATGCGGGGTTTGATTTATTAAAAAAAAGTTTTATTTAAATCAAAAAACAAAGAAGCAAATATAAACAATAATTATTTTAAACGATTGCATATATTATTTTTTTAATTTTTTTTCTGAAAAGTATTTTTTATATGAAATATAATATCTTAAAATATTATAGATTTTAATATTAATAAAACGATAATTGTTACAGGCTTTGTCGGTGGTCCGGTAAGTTCTCAACTTCTCTAATATAATCACATATTGATATTAGCGACTCACCCCCGCTCCGCTCGGGTTCGTCTCTAGGTACGTTTTAACGGTTAGTATACCTAGATTTCTCAGAGATGAGATATTTTCCTGCACTAAAAAGTATCCTATATTTTGACTCGTACAACCAGCTATCACCATACTAAATTTCATCAAAATCCGTCCAGTGGTTTTCTTGTGATGTGTTCCCAGACAAACAGACAGACAAAAATTCTAAAAACTAAAGATTCGGTCTCTGTATCGATAATAATGACTATTTCAATGAGATTTTCCAAAAAAATATTCAATACGTAAAATTTTATTATATGTATAGACGATAGTAAAATCGAACACAAAGAATATATTTTTTTTTACATAATTACCCATAGTCTAAGGATCCCGATCTATGTGGTGGACCCCTCGCTCTTTTCCCAGGCGAAATATATTTTTCTTATTATATTTTTGGCACGTTTGCAAAAGAATATGAGAGTAAAATTTTTTCAGCCAAAAAACGACATGATGAAGTTAGCTGAAAGCGACATGATGCTTAAACTTCATCATGTCGCTTTTCGGCTGTCGGTGTGCGCGCGCATCGTAAAAATTTTACTCTCATATTTTTTTTCAAACGTGCCAAAAGGAGTATAAGTTCTATGAAAACTTTTGTTTTTTCTAATAGGTGTCTTGAACATAAACTTTAAACGATTAGTAACTATAGAAACGGCTCCACAAACATACATTACTGTATAAATCGATATTTTATGACTGCGCTACGTAGTCACTGAAGGTCATAGGTTCTATGCCTGCAACGGTTATGTTACATGATACTACATATAAGATACTAGCATTGCCCGCGGCTCCGCCCGCGTTCAGATGACCAAAAACCAAATTCTTAGGTTTTACATATTAGTATACTCTTACAATGCAGTTTTATTTATTTTTCTTCAGAATTGAGATATTTTCCCGCGGTAAAAAGTATCCTATATGTTGACCCGGATAACCAGCTATCATCATACCAAATTTCATGAAAATCCCTCCAGTGGTTTTTCTGTGATGCGGTAACAGACAGACAGACAAAAATTCTAAAAACTATAGATTCGGCCGCTGTATCGATAATAATGTCTATTTCAATGAGATTTTACAAAAAATATTTAATGTACAGATTCGGCTTAGTTACAATTTTATTATATGTATATATATATAATATTTAAGCCAAAAAATGTGACAAGATTTTTATACTATCTATTAATTTAAAAATATTACACTAGTTTTAGTTTGCGGCTCCGCTCGCGTGATAGGTCGTCGATAGTGAACATGTTTTAATCCAAGATATCAGCATCTCTCTAAGTAGGTATTTCTAATTTATTCAAATCCACTGAGCCACTACAGGGTAAAATAGTCGTATTTATATTATTAGGATGATAATGACAATAAATTGATCAAAAAAGACGTTAGAAGTATAATATATGCCCGATTTCACCAACATCACTTAAGCTACCACCTACGTATGGGATCCCTAGCTTAAAAGTTCACCCAAACTAGCCCCTAAATTAAATTTCGTTTTACCATCGTCAGAGCCCGTATCTCCAGTACCTATATTTAGGTGGCATTTTAACATTTAGGTGAGCCCTAACTGTCGGTGAAACAGAAACTGTCCCCTAACAACCCCCTAACCATGCTTAGGGGATCCCTTAAACTTGGTGACGTTGGTGAAATCGGCTAATAGTTTTTATTCCACTAGCAACCACAATTCATGCAAGTTGCACCGGGTATGCAAGGTATGCCAATGCAAGGTGGTCAGACAAGTATACAGGAGACGATACGCGCACCAGGCGCTCGAGGTATGCGAGGCATGGGCCTAGGCACTGGCCTGGCGATGGGTGCGGCAGGCCTGGCCGCCGGTGGTGCGGTGGGATATGGAGCAGCCGGCGGGTTTGATCACTTATTTGGCTCAAGTGGTTCTCCTGGGGTGAGTAGTTATTTGTATTATGAGTGGAAAAAGAAGTATATTTAATGAAATAAAAACATATTAAAAATAAATAAAAACCGTCTTCCAGGCACTAAAACGTAAAAAATAACTAAACGGGGGTTTTCATTTAGAATAAACCAACCGATTCAAATGAAAGCACACCGACTTCGAAAATATCTGATTAGGTATTTATTCTAAACGAAAACCCCCGTTTAGTTATTTTTTACATTTTAGTTTTTTTTTCATTTTTAGTGTAGACGTAATAAGCAGGTAATTTGTAAGAAGAAAGTTTTTTTAATAACATGTTCGATTAAGCAATTTATTTAAAAAAATATTTTTTTGTTGATTTTGAAAAAACCGCTCGGCCGATTTCGATTAAATTTAAATGGGACCACCTGGATAGTGTACCCTTCGAAACAAAAAAATCCAAATCGGTTCAGGCGTCTTCGAGTAATCGGTGAACATACATAAAAAAAAGATACACATAAGACATAAGAAAGAAAGAATAAAAGCAGAAGTTATGACCCAAACAATAACAAATGATAATTTACTTTAACCGGGAATGGAACTTGTTGTTTTTTTTAATAAAACTCAATCATTTATATTTCAGGTAGAGGTAGATTCGTTTTCAGAGAGTGTCGACTTCGGGGACGACGACTGGATTGACTAAATGTGCCTTAACTCTTCATTATATATATATATATATATATACACTAGCATTGCTCGCGGCTCCTCCCACGTTCAGATGACCAAAAACTAAATTCTTAGGTTTTACATATTAGTATACTCTTACATTGCAGTTTTTGTATTTTTTCTCAGAAATGAGATATTTTCCCGCGGTAAAAAGTATATGTTGACCTGGATAGCCAGCTATCACCATAACAAACTTCAACAAAATTTCTTTAGTGGTTTTTCTGTGATGCGGTAACAGACAGACAGACAAAAATTCTAAAAAGTATAGATTCGGCCTCTGTATCGATAATAATGTTCATTTCAATAAGATTTTCCAAAAAATATTTAATGTACAGATTCGGCTTAGTTACAATTTTATTATATGTACAGATTGGATTGTATGAATTTATAGAAATGGCTATAAAGAATCTAAAACTGCGTGACTCTTTAAAAAAAAATGGGGAAATTTTAAATAATTATTGTTAGATAAAATTTTACCGAAAATGGTTATAGATTAGACCATGTCCAACCATAAGTGTTTGAGGATTAAATTAGTTGAAGTATTTGAAATAATCAAATATTTGATTGTAGGGTGGTAATGAAGGAGAAAATCAGGGCAGTGAAGTGGAAACTTCTCACAACGAAGCAAGTTCTGCCAATGCAGATGGATATTCTATTGATGATGAAGTAGGTGATGATGATCGATAGACAGATCATAGCATTATAATTATTACACCGAGTGAGGAAAATCTGTAGTATACTTTAAACATATTTACATAACACACCGACTTAAATATGATAGATAATACATAAACAGTGCCTTCAAGGTATATTTTTTTTAATTAATACAAAATAAAAAAATATATATTCAAAAAGTATAATTAAAAAAGTCACAACTATATTTATTTTAATATGTTTAATAAATTAAAAAATATTTGTCGTGAGATTCAAAAACCGAAACTCTCCGGATGCCTTCAAGTATTTGTAGATTTATAACTTTAAAAAATAAACCGAAAATATAATAATATCGTGTAATGAATAACTATACAAAAACCGATTCGGTGAAATGCATTCTGTAAAGGAAACAAATCACAAATAACAAAACATTGGTTCATTCAATCGTTAAATCGAATTAAAAAAAACGTATTTATACGTACGTACGACTTTAATCAAATCGTATACGAAAACCGACACAGTAAAACCGTGTAAGAGAAATTTTTCGTGGTTAAAACGGTAAAGGTTTGAACCGCTCTAAGTTATGGTTTCGGTTTTCAAATCTCTAGACACTCGTATTTCTTATGCATTTTAACGTCCCACTGCTGAGCACGGGCCTCCCTTCAATACGAGGGGGATCAGGCCATAGTCCACTACGCTGGCCAAGTGCGGGTTGGCAGACTTCACATGTCTTTCGAAGACTTGCTAGGTTCTTTCAGACATGCAGGTTTCCTCACGATGTTTCCCTTCACCGAAAGACAAGTGGTAATCATGTTAGAAATAATTCGCGCATGCAAATATCAGAGGTGTAAGACCCGGGATTTGAACCCGCTTCACTCGATTTCCCAAGCGAGCGCGTTACCACTGAGATACCGCTGCCTTCAAGCTATGAGAAGCTCGTTTTCATTGCTTCTCTGTCCAATTAGTAAGATAGTTTGAAAAAAACTTCGAAAATACACAAATTGGTGTCTATGAAATCTTTAAACTCCTCTAAGTTCATATAATTTGTTCTTTGATATAAAACCTTACCTTACCTACCTTATTTTCTTTGATATATAACCCACTTGGTTAGCTTAAATTAATATATACATAACTAGCGACTCACCCTCGCTCCGCTCGGGTTCGTCCCTAATGTGGGCCACCCTTATCACTAAGGGGTATGGAAAATAGATAGTAGCCGATTCTCAGACCTACTGAATACGCATATAAAATTTGGTAAAAATCGGTAAAGCCGTTTCGGATGAGTACGGTAACTAATATTGTGACATGGAAATTTTATATATTAGAGATAGATTTATTAAACATATTTTTTTAGTCTACGGTAAAAGCCATGTTTTTAGGATAAATAAATGATAAATAATATATTTTCTAAAATTTTATCCATTTGTTGGTTTTTTAATAGTATTATTCTCATGAAATCTGTTAAAATCATGTGTTGTTCAAAAAGTTTATAATTATTAATTATTAAAAGTTATATCAATATTCCTTGAAGATAATAATAAATATACAAAATTAAAATTAAAAATGTTGTAATAATTGTATAAAAAATTTTGAATTTTTTTTAAAGTGTTTTACGGTATTCGGGTTTTCGTCAAAATAACAGCTTTTATAATAAAACTAGCGACTCACCCTCGCTTTGCTTGGATTCGTCCCTAGGTCGATTCCCCATACAAACTTTCATACACATTTTCACCCCCTTAAGGGATGATTTCCGGGATAAAAAGTATTCAATGTCCTCCCCAGGGTCTCAAACTATCTTCTCACCAAATTTCATCAAAATCCCTCTTGTGGTTTTTCCATGATGCGGTAACAGACAGACAGACAGACAAAAAATCTAAAAACTATAGATTCGGCCTCTGTATCGATAATAATGTCTATTTCAATAAGATTTTTCAAAAATTATCTAATGTACAGATTCGGCTTAGTTACAATTTTATTATATGTATAGAAGTAAAGTATAAAGAGTCCATATAAAATAAAAGGCCGGCGCACAACAGATTAAAATTAATAAAGCTACAAGTGATTAATATTACTTTATTATTTTTCATTAATCACTAAAAAATTCACAAAACTATTAATCACAAAATATTCCGATGGTATTTGAAACACTTTTAAAGTATGTAGTATATTAATTTTAAATTACTCAGTACAAAAGTGGCACAATTCGTTTTCATATTTGTGTAGACGTAGAAAAATATATAAAAGATAGGAAAAATTGATATTAACTAATTATTTAATTATTTCATTGAGAAATAAAATAAATATTTTTTTATAATATTATTTTTACAGTAAATGGTGTTTTTTGACTGTTTAGTAGAAAAAAAAATTAATATTTTTTTTTTCGATTATTTTAGACTTATGCCACTTTTGCACTGACGGCTTTAAATACGCAAGTTTTTTTTTTATTATGACGATATATTTTAAATATTTTTCTTTCATTTGTGCAGTCGCAATTTTGCTCTAAACACAATTTTCGTGATAAATAAACTTAAATTGCTTGTTTAGAAAATTTATTTTCGATTGATTTGTTCACAATTTTTTTTGTATATTGTGTCATATATTTTTTTAATGAAATACAAAGAATGTTATTTATTTATTTGTTTTATTTTTATCCTGTTGCGGTTGAAGCCGAAAGGAGGGTTGTGTGGTTGACTTGTATGTAAACTCGATCCTATGTTCCATCGTAATTACTAATCGGCTTAACCGATTTTTGTGACTTATACGTGGATAGATTCGCCCTGAATGTTAGAGGCTAGAAACAAATAGCGGATAGCAGGCCCCAATTAGTGTTTGATAATTTTTTTCCGGTCAAACCTAACGAGTGATTTGTTAAAATGAAGGTTTTTAATAAGTGATCATAAAAATAATATATATATATTATATATATATATATATAGGAAAGACGTAAGACCAAGGAAGGTTAAAGACTATAATTTATGAATATTTTGGCAAAAAGAAGTTACTGGTATGTATTGTGTATGTTTTGTATATAACTTTTTTTAACGTCCCACTGCTGGGGGTGGGCCTGGACGCACAGACAGAAAAAAATTCTAAAAACTATACATTCGGCCTCTGTATCGATAATAATGTGTATTTCAATAAGATTTTTCAAAAATTATCTAATGTACAGATTCCGCTTGATTACAATTTTATTATATGTATAGAAGAGAAATAATTTTTTTTTTACTAGCCATTTACACTGCCACATATTAAAAGTATGTTAAACTTTTTCTTTTATTTCTAGCAACATCAAACACATCACCATGGCAACGGTTTTTCTAACAAATGAAACAAAACAGTACCGCGTTTGCCAGAAATATAAGTACAAAATAGTTTTAGACTATACTCATAATGTCTGGCTTAAGTGGTTATGATAGTGAAGTTGTAGGGTTCGATTGTGTGAATGAAAATAAAAGATCCTCGACTGCCACTTCTTCCCAAACTACAGAGTTCAGCCAACATGGCAGCAGTTCTCAAACTTACTCGTCCAAAGACATTGGCTGTACAGCATATCCTGAAGAAGTCAAACCTGAACCAATAGATCCAACATCTGGATTGAACGAATTCCTCAAAAGAGTAGTACCTGCTATGATGGAGCAGTTGGACCAAAACGATCCTGAGTTCATTAATTACTCGTCAGATTCTGATGAAGAAGATCTGATCACAGCGAAATTGTTACAAGAGATCCAAATTAAAGACACTTCTGGTTCAGGAGAGCACGGGACTGCAATTTTGGGTGTAACATGGAGCAGTACTGGCAATTCTTTGGCAGTTTCTATAGGAGCTATGCAGCATGAGACCTGGTGCCAGAATTCTGGTTTGATTAAAGTATATACGTTTAAGAGAAATGAAGAAAAGTTTATCCATTCTTTCGATATGACTGAGAAGAATTGCGTGACAGTTTTAAAGTATCACCCGACGGTCGGATCATTATTGGCATATGGTACTGCGGCAGGAGAAGTAGTCCTATGTAATTTGAGAAGTGCGAATATGGATGAGGATGTCCTTCTTACTTCACCATCGGACTGTCATGGCTCGAGGCGGGTATCAGCTCTGCAATGGGCTGATGCGTCGTTAGCCAACACGTTTTTAGTTATGCAGATTAACAATAAGGGCAAAAGACGAGGCGCCGCTGATCAGGTTAAAAAAATTTATTGTCTTTTTCTAATATTTACAAACTTTTTTACATGTTCTCATAATTATTTTTATTCTACTAGCTACATACCACGTGATAAATGGTTTTTGCTGTGAATTTTAAACCATAATTATATACTTACAGGTTCTATTCTCCGCTGGTTCCGACGGAACCCTCAACGCTTGGCAAGTAAACGCCAATCTCCAAGTCTTCGAAAATATAATATGCTACAACATTAATGGCTCCCAAAACCTGGCACCAGATATCACCTGCTTCGATTTCACCAAGAATTATCCACTTCGTCCCACAGAAGAGAAGACTCCTGACATATTTGTGGTGGGAACTAAGACTGGGAAACTCTATTTATGTAAAATCAAGGTTGCTCAAAGCCAGGGGGTGGTGGATCCTGTGTATGATGTTCTAGAAGGTCATGGCACTTGTGTTCTGGATGTGGCATTCAGTGAACAAAGACCTGGTATTTTTGTGTCGATCTCCATGGACTCGGAATTGAGGGTGTATGATATCAGCCAAGCAAGTCCTTTAAAGGTAAATGCTTGTACATCAGTATATATTGTAAATAAAAGTCCCCCGCCGCGTTGAGTTTGTTTGTTTGGGCTAATGTCGATAACTACTATACGGATTTTCATTCAAACTTCACCAATAGAAAGATATTCTAGAAAATTTATAAAAAATAAGCTTGCAGCATCATCATAATGGTATTTGTGAATTTAAAATAACATAAGTATTATTATAATTACAATTGATATAAATGACATAAACCCACACTGATATCCTAAAGTGAGGATTTAGTATGAAATATAGATTATCTGTCTCTATATGATACCTTGATACTCACTCCCTACATGATACTCTTTTTTTAATGTTGGGATATGCATTAATGCATGCGACCTGTAGATATACAGGTGGTTACGTGGGACTCACCGGCTAGAGCAACCCGCACGGTAAACCGCCCACCGAAGTGCGCTGATTTTCTGTGCGTTTCTTGGTTTGGTGCTCGGCTGAACTGCCGGACGCTAACGAGCCCCCCACCACGACAAGGTGAACGTACCTTGGGGGGGATACATGATAATTGATACCCTGTCCCTACTTGATATCTAGATTCTCTGCTTGGACTTCCCAATCTCGTGCCTGAGCTGGCTGTCGTCCCCCGCGGTAGTGCTGGGCGCGTGTGGGGAGCAGGAGTCCCTGCGCGTTGTCAACGTGAGCAGTGGACAGGTGCTGCCGGTGGGCGGGCTGCGCGGGGGCGGGGACGTGACGTGTTTGTGCGTCAGTATGTTTGGGTGAGTGCTCTGCGGCGTATAATTAAAATAGAATACCCTTTAATTTCTGAAATAAATTGACATTATACACTCACACATGCAAATCATATTTTTTTTATTTAAAAAATGGCAGATTGTTAAGTAAATATGTATATCGATCATTAAATGACAAAAAATAATGTGTTTCATAAATAAAGCTGATATAATAATAATAGCCCTAATTTTATTTGACATATTTTTACAATATTGTTAGTAACCCTTATAAGATCACTCTTGTCCGTCTATCTGTCTGTGTGTCACCACCGATTTTCTCAGGAAGGGTGGACCTAGCATGTTGAAATTTATACCAGATAGTGAGTAAAAAGATATGATCAAATTTAGATTTTCGCGAGAACTTGTAAGTACCAAAACTTACCTTAAAATTTTCAACTTTTTTTATTTTTCGGAATTTTTCCTTTATTTGTGCTGTAAGACTTTGCTTTTTGCCAAATTTCGTGATTCTAGGTCAACGGGAACTACCATATACTCGTAGGTTTTCGACCCAAAACAGATTTCCTACAAATTTGTACGGAACCTTCGATGGGCGAGTCCGACTCGTACTTGTCCGGGTTTTTTTATTAATTTAAAAAATTAATGCTATGATTTTTTTATACACAGCACAGTACAGATAAAATATTTTCAAGACACAAATTGGCACTTTAAATCCGCCATTATGATTGTTAATAATATCCATATATATATATATATATATATATATATATATATATATATATATATATATATATATATATATGTATATAACCTATGCCACTCGCGTAATCAAGACGAATCTAGCGACGTATGAATCATTGAAATCGGTTAATATAAGGGAATATAGGGTTGTACATACATACATACAGGCAGTGTAAGTCCAGTGGTAATGCACTCGCTTGGGAAACCGAGTGAAGCGGGTTCAAATCCCGGGTCTCGCACCTCTGATATTTTCATGTGCGAATCATTTCCAACATGCTCACCACTTGTCTTACGGTGAAGGAAAAACATCGTGAGGAAACCTGCATGTCTGAGAGAACCTAGCGAGTTGTCTACAGACATGCTCAGTCCGCCTGCACTTGGCCAGCGTGGTGGACTGTGGCCTGATCCTCCTCGTATTGAAGGGAGGCCCACGCCCAGCAGTGGGACGTTGAACAGGCCTATATACATACATACATTCAGATCAAACACAACCCTCCTTTGGGCTTCGCCGCTGCCGATTGAGAATGCCTATGACTGCATAGTTTTATGTTACTAATGTTGGGCCCCTAATAAAACTTCGAGATATTCCTTGCTTATATTCTTATATTCAGTACTTTTATAAACGTCAGTGAGTTACATAATTTATAATCATAATTTTCAGTATTACAAACAATTCGTGACCAGTCACTACATGGTGGTACCGACAATCGACATTTCTGTGCAAAAGCGCGGGAAAACAAATGAATATCCGCGCCATTTTTTATTTTTTTTTCAACACATTCCTATCGGCCAAGGTCACATAAGTAAATGCCTTATACATAAATCATTACAAATTAATCAAATATATTATTTTCTATTAAAACACTCAATATATAAAAATGCAACCTTACACTGGGAATGAAATGGGTTTTTAAATTGTGATTTTAATATTAATGTCAGATAAAGTATTAAAAAGTGATTATTTCAACAACTTGACAGTTCGTGTCGTATCGCGGCCGGGAACGAAGCCGGGACCGTCCGCGTGTGGGAGCTGCCCGCGAGACGCTTCAACTTCACCGACGAAGACTTGGAGTTTTAAACTGAAGACTGTTTCTAGATATAGTCGAATTAAATAAGTTTTGTAATTATTTTTTTAATAAAAGGCAGTTTTTGGTCGAAGTTAGTTTGAAGTATTCTTAAAATCCACTTTTATTTATATTAGAGTAGCGTCTCACCCTAACTTTACTCGGGGTAGCTTCCCCCATACAAACTTTCATCCCCATTTTCACCCCCCTTAAGGGATGATTTCCGGGATAAAAATAATCCCATGTCCTATAAACAGCAAATCATGCTACTATTTTTGATTTTGACTTTTGTTTTGGAGGATATATGTAATTCTTAATTTTGATAGTGTAATACATGCGAAAGTCTGTACGTTTGTGTGTTTGATAATCTTTCACGTTCAAACGTGGACCGATTTGGATGAAATTTAATACACAGATACAGTATGGTCTGGAGCAGGTATACTCAACCTGCGGCCCGCCGGGCCTTTGTTATTGGCCCATCTGAAGTTACATCTCAGAGTTGGCTTCCGTTTTAAATTTTACTTAAGAGTTGTTTGATGAGTTCATCGATTTTGAAAACGATACCAATCTAGAAGTTTTGTTTGAAGAAAAAATGGAAAACAGACCATGACTGAAACGTGTTTGTGCAATTTGTTTGTGCACCTATAAAAAAAAGGTTAAGTATGCCTGGTCTGGTGTAATATTTACGCACGAGGGTATATATAATAAAATAAAAGTCGACATATTAAAACATGTTTATTTGTTAAAAATTATTCCTAAACGTATTCACAGTCCCCCCGCTTTAGCCCTTGCCCGCGCCTCCAACGCCTTATTCATTAACTGAAAATAAAATATATATATATACATATAATAAAATTGTAACTAAGCCGAATCTGTTCATTAAATATTTTTTGGAAAATCTTATTGAAATAGACATTATTATCGATACAGAGGCCGAATCTATAGTTTTTCTCTCTGTCTGTCTGTTACCGCATCACGGAAAAACCACTGTAGGGATTTTGATAAAATTTGGTATGGTGGATAGCTGGTTATCCGGGTCAACATATAGGATACTTTTTACCGCGGGAAAATATCTCATTTCTGACAGAAAATACAAAAACTGCATTGTAAGAGTATACTAATATGTAAAACCTAAGAATTTTTGCTTTTTGGTCATCTGAACGCGGGCGGAGCCGCGGGAAATGTTAGTATATATATAAAAACCAAAAAAAAGATGACACAATCAGCGACAAAAATGTCCTCACCGAATGAGCGCTCATTTGAGCGCGCTTTTAATTTTTTTTGTGAAAACAACTTTAAACATTGCATTTAAGGTTCAATTTACATTGTTGTATATTTATTTCAACTACAACAATCACCTAAACACAATCGGTGACAGTTTTAAGAGAACTTTTGCATGGGATTGTGTATCTAGTACTTTTTGATCGATGATCTCAATTCAAGCTTTAAATCATAAGTCTGTCATTTGTACTGTGATGCTCTATGAACGACTGAGGTGATTTTGATGAGACCTTCACTGGTAGATAGCTGATATTATAAGGACAAACTGAGAATACTATATTTTAGAAAAAAATTTAGGGTTCCGCTCAAATAAAACCTTTAACCCATAAACAAAATCCGCGTATAATCCGCCGTATAAATTTAGTAAATTACTTAAATTAATAAGCAAATTATGTATTTCTCTGATACAAAGCATACAAATACTTCTTTCATAAAAGCACTAGCGACTCACCCTTGCTTCACTCGGGTTTGTCCCTAGGTACGCTTTAAAGGTTAGTATGAAACAGAAATCTTTGAATTTCTCGGCTTTTCTGTACTATAATATGCATGTAATAAACATATAAACCTTTCTCTTGAATGACTCTATCTATTAAAAAAAACCGCATCAAAATCCGTTGCGTAGTTTTAAAGATGTAAGCATACATAGGGACAGACAGACAGCGGGAAGCCATTTTGTTTTATACTATGTAGTGATATACATACGAGTACATAATTCGTTGGCCTACTATTACAAGGTTCTATGTTAATCTTAATGAAGTTTAGTAATTTTTACATAGAACTTCGTTATTTTGTTATCGTAAAAAAAAACAACATAGAACTATGTAAAATTGAATATTTTGTAGTTAAAGTGCCGCCATCTAGTGGTTTGTTTTTGCAAAACTGTAGCTAATGACACATAGAACCTTGTAGCATTCATAACTACATGAGTACTAAAATTGTAACATAGGACCTTGTAATAGTGAGCCAAGGATATGTGTCGCACCTGTCACTGCTTGGCGCGGCGCGCGGGCTCGGTGGCGGTGGGCGGCGGCGGCGGGCCCTTCTTCTCCAGCTCCTCCAGGTAGCCGCTGATGATCTGCTGCCGCTCCTCCGGGATGTGCTCCAGCGCGGTGTACCTGTGTCGAGCTATCTTAGTTACCAATGTACGGTTTAATACAGGGTGGACACCCCCCAATGCAGGGCTATGGGTTCAAATTAGTGGCACCAACGTAGTAACAGTGCTGAACACATTTTGTTCATACTCGTATAACAATAATTGTATCGCGCCACGAACCCTAGTTATCCCGTAATTATCCCTTATTGATGCGCTTGTCATTTATCTATACTGGACTGGACAGATTTTGATGAAATTTTATATGATGATAGCTGGTTATCCGGATCAACATAAATAATAAGCAGGTGAGCATGCAGGGCCAGGGGCAGTACCTGGCGTCGTGCGCGAGCGCGTCGGCGAGCGCGGCGGCGGCGGCGGGGGGCGGGGGGTCGCGGGCGGGGCGGGGGGTTGGGGGGCAGTACCTGGCGTCGTGCGCGAGCGCGTCGGCGAGCGCGGCGGCGGCGGCGGGGGGCGGGGGGTCGCGGGCGGGGCGGGGGGTTGGGGGGCAGTACCTGGCGTCGTGCGCGAGCGCGTCGGCGAGCGCGGCGGCGGCGGCGGGGTCGGCGCGCAGCGCGGCGCGCGAGCGGTGCGTGAGCGAGCGCGTCTCCTGCAGCAGCTGGCGCAGCGCCGTCTTGGCGGCGCTCTGCTTGTCGCGCTGGTAGTCGCGGAACTCGCGCTCCATCTGGACGGTCGGACGGCACGGTCACAAAATTACATTTATACATCACAATTTAGTAAGTTTTAATTTTTTGTACCTTATTCTTTTTCAATAATATAAAAATAGTCTAGTTTACCCCTTATAACGCCAGCTATCTGTCAGTGAAAGTCCCGTCGAAATTGGTTCAGCCGTTTTTATTATGTTATTAACCGGAACAAACGGACAGACAAAAATTATAAAACATGTTATTTTATTATAAGTAGGTTCCATATATAATTTCATATGCATTTAATGAAAAGCTGTTATATTGACATTACAAACAGACACTTCAAATTTTATTTATTTGTACATAAATTATTGCAAAGCTAAAACTCAATCTATTAGTAATTTAAAAAATTAACTGTGACAAGAAACCGCACTATTCCACAACAACGACCACGAAATACCATACACATTTATTATTATCATTATTAATTCAGATTAAATTTTCTTTCATTTATCATCAGAATTAAAATCTGCACTAACATTACACCGTTTACCCTTATTTTTAATTATTAAAAAACCTAAAATAAAAAAAAATCTAACATGTACATTACACATCATAACCTATTTAATATAAAAAAAACCAACCCACTAAACTAACAGTGATACTCAAACAACAAAAAACCCAAAAAAAATTTTTCCCCAACACAATATTTTTTTTCCTCCCAAAAAAACCCCAATCCCCGCGTGGCGCTCACCTGCGGCGCGGCCCTGTAGACGGGCGCGGCGGGGTGCTCCGCCAGCAGCTTGCGCACGTCGCGCCAGTGCGCCGTGCACGCCACGCCCAGCTCCGCCAGCAGCGCGCGCAGCTTCTCGCGCCGCTTGCCCGCCAGCGACGAGATGTGCTGCCCGAACAGACGCTCCTGTCGGAGGGACAAGAGCGAATGTGAGAGAGAGATGCGAAAGAGAAACATTTGTGTGTATGTATATGTTTGGTGTGGATGAATCTGAACTCCTAGATGAGAGAGAGAGAGAGAAAGAGAAGGAGAGAAGGGTTATAAGTACCATTGCTTAGGTATTGAAATAGCACGATATCTTACCAAAGGGGGAGGAGGGGTCAAAAATCCCCAAAATTGTCTCACGTTATTGGATGCTCCGTAGACATCTCCAGGCTCAGCACTTACCTTGTCGTCCTTAGTGAGCTCGTCCGCGAGGCTGTACCGGTGATCCTTCTTCAGCTGCTTCTTGGCCTCGCGCCACGCCAGGTCCGGGTTGCGCACCAGGTCCGCCAGCAGCGCGTTGAAGTGCTGCACGGGAGAGGGGAATGGAGACCGTTTAAAAAAAAATATGGGCGCGTGTAAACTTTACGCGCGGTTGATGTAAAACTTCTTTACTAAATGTCGCAATTAAATTACATTATATTTTTTGTTATTATCTGCGGTATATATAACAACACAGTGAACAATCATGTTGTTGTTATTATTATATTCTATCTCGTTGTTCTAGTGGCGCTTACATATACCGCTGCAAATCAGAGGTCTTAGGTTCGAGCCCCGGATCGGATCGGACTAAATGCAGTTAATGCGTTTTTGTATGGAAAAAAAATATCAGTTACAGTCCGGAATTGGATTTTACCCCCGTGTCAGGTGAGAGCATGTAAAGCCCTAAAGTGATTCTTTGTTTAAACTCCCACCGGTATAATTATGTTGTGCCAAGAGCAGTGGCGTAGCTATACCAATGCAACCAATGCGGTTGCATGGGGCCCCTGATTCAAGGGGGCCCAAGCGGGCCACAAAAGATTCTTTTATTTCAAAACATTTTTTCGCGGACGGCCCTCATAGAAATAACAAAAGACCCAAGAAAAGTGTCCCAAATTTCCGCATATTATTGTTTACGAGAACCACGACGAATGTGAGCGCACCTATGTTCTGTAAAACGATGAATGCTCCTCAAAGCATAGCTTTTTTACTAAATTTTACTCTACCCGTTCTTCCGTAAGACCGGTTTGAAAAAATTGAGAAGTTCGAAAACTGTCTCTGTGTAATTTAATTTATTTTTTCTTTGGGGCCCAAAAAGGTTAGTTACGCCACTTCCCATGTGAGTGAATAAATTCGGATGTTCTGGACATCACTCACCTGTACCGCCTCATCTCTCTTGTGGTACTCCCTCTCCTTGTCCCTGTCCCGGAGGCTGGTGGCGAGCGCCCTCTGGACCTGTTTCTCTCTCTCCTTGATGGAGGCCTGCGCTCGCGCCTCCCTCTCCTTCGCGGCTTCACTCTCCGGCTCCTCCGACTCCTGCTCCTCAGTTTCGGAAGCTTCTGGTTCCGGATCCTATTTTGGGAAAGCGAAATTCATAATTGATTGGTTTCTAGTACTTTAGCAGTTTTAGAACCTCTGCTTATTTCCTTGGTGATATTTGGACAGATATATAGTATTCTAAAAGACGAGATATATTTTTGATTATGGCAACAATTATAATAAATTTATTTATACTCTGTTCATGTGGCAATACTTATATAAAAAACCGGTAAAGGTATACACACGAAGTAACTTATAGTTTGGAATAAAATAAATATTCATTAAAAAGGTAATTTTATTTTCTCCCACTATCGTACAAAAGATATTGATAATTGAGGTTAGATGATACCTTGTAGTTATCTGATAGTTGTATAAGTAGGATCGAAAACATGGATTGTAAAATAACATCATAAAATTTATTAATAACCGGCTGATTTTCATAGTATTTATTACTGGCGCCTCACTCTCACTTTACCAGGGGTTCGTCCCTAGTTTGATTCCCAATACAAACTTTCATCCCCTTAAGGGATGATTTCCGGGATAAAAGGTATCCTATATCCTTCCCAGGGTCTCAAACTATCTTCTTACCAAATTTCATTTAAATCGGTTCAGTAAATCCAGAGATTACCCCCTACAACGTCACAAACTTTACCTCTTTATAATATTAGTATAAGATTAAAAAAATGCATAATTGAATGATCAAATCGTCCTACAAATAAAATTGTAGTATTTCTCGGATATTATATTTTAACTAGCGACTCCTCTCACTTCCATCGGGTTCGTCCCTAGTTACGTCTTAACGTTTAGTATAGATTTCTCAGAGATAAAATATTTTTCCGCAGTAAAAAATCCTATACTATATGTTGACCCGTATACCATACCGTTAACCAGCGATCATCATACTAAATTTCATTAAAATCTGTCCAGTTGTTTCTCTCGTGATGCGATAACAGACAGACAGACAAAAATTCTAAAAACTATAGATTCGGGCTCTGTATCGATAATAATGTCTATTTCAATTAGATTTTCCAAAAAATATTTAATGTACAGATTCGACTTAAGTTACAATTTTATTATATGTATAGATTCAGTAGTTTAACACTTTGCGGATTAACGCCATCTATTGTATATTTAAACAAACATAAATCTGTACCTGAGAAGCATAACACTGTAACTCAATTTTTTACAAGTTTGTGTTTTTACAGTACATATACTATTGCATGTGTCCTTTTCTATAATGGCATTACACTGTTTGTTGCAAAATTCTAGTTATATATCTATTTTTCATACACGAGCGTCATTTATTAGTTATCCATGACAATTTAAGCCAAATAAATCGGAATAAAAAAAAAAACAAAACAACAAAATTTGAAAATCTACATATTTAAGGAGATATCGTTGAGGACGGGAGGTGTGAAGAAAAGAAAGGTTTTAAGAGGAAAGAAGGCATACATACAGTAGACCTATGAATAAACGAACGTCAATATCACGTTGCGTATACTAAACGTTTTATTCCATCCATAAAGATGAAACTTGAACTTGAAATACCTTAAATCATAATAAAATACGCGTAACATACATAAAAAACAACTGGCCTCTTTTTTGAAATCGATTAAAAAAACCCTTGTATAAATAAATAAAAAAACACCCAAAATCAATACCTCCTACTCTATATAGAAATCGCTCAAAAACAAACCCTCTTTATAAATAATAAAAAAAAAAACATTTAAAAGAAATACCTCCTTCTCTATTTGAAAATCAGTCAAAAATAAACCCTCTGTATAAACAAAAAAAAAACTGAAAATATTTGGAAATGCACCCTGTATAAATAAAATAATACATCAGTACAACATATTTAATACACTATTCAAATCATCATTCACTAACAAATGTTCGATAAAAATAAAATATTTACAATATTTATTACTAAATACATTAATCGTTAGTAAACATGACAAACGGGTATTGTATTTACAATGATTTCGATTACAAAATGGCGGCTGCCCATAGACAAAATGATTTCATTTTAATTTATAGACAACATTTGTGATTATTCCATTTAAACATCTATTACAGTATTTAGATATATTAAATTTTAAAAAAAATCCTCTATGTTACTTCCTAATTAGTTTTGAGAGTTTAGAGCTCATTTAAAAAAAAACATTACATCTATTACAGTAAAATAATACTAAGTCGTGTGAATAAATGAACTTAAAATTAAAAAAAAAAAACTTTAATATGTAATATTAAAAAAAAATTGCATTAGCTTAAACACTTAAAACAGAGAAATTTACATTTTGTTTTTTTAATATTTACAAATCCAAATACATATATAGATCGTAAAAATTGGCAACATTTGACATAAGGACGAAACCCTTTTTACCCTTGTGCATGGTTTCAAATCTAAAAACCGATAAGTCCACTTTCGAATTTTATCAAAAAAAAAGGACAAAGCACCTTATTAAACATTTATAGTCTGTGAAAAAATAACTATTTACATTTAGAGATTGGAGAAAAATATTATTTGTTATTTTAATCGAATATAAAGTTAATAATACACACATTTTATTCTAACATTAAATTTTATTAAAAAAAAAAGACGGTAATTCCCCTCTTAATAATACAAACTATCTAAATATATGTACAAAATCCGCCGCTTATTTCCAGATCGTTCCAATAAATACCATTTTTTAATCTTTTTCACTATTTTTTATTATCTGTACACTATTTAGTATAAAACATTGCCATATTGTATTGATATAGTTCACGTCACTTACGTTATTATTAAAAAAAACGAGTAAACACTTGAAATAGAAGATTCGACCCACCACGCGAGAAAAGTGCCTCTTGGGTCATATTCATCTTATAGCTAATGTCATCAGAACTGATGTGTTCAAACAGCAAATAAAATTATTTATGAAATATATTATTATACTAATATTAAATATTTTATTGAAATATTATTTATCTGTTTCATTGCATGAATATATTTTATTATCTGACGGCATCGATCAAAAAAGTACTAGATACACAATCCCATGCAAAAGTTCTCTTAAAACTGTCACCGATTGTGTTTAGGTAATTGTTCTAGTTGAAATAAACATACAACAATGTAAATTGAACCTTAAATACAATGCTTAAAGTTGCTTTCACAAAAAAAAAATATAAAAGCGCGCTCAAATGTTCAAATGAGCGCTCATTCGGTGAGGACATATTTTGTCCCTGATTGTGTATCGAGTATTTTTTAGATCGATGTCTGACGGTTACAAAATTAGCCCTTAATATCGATACATGCATAGAACAATATTGTAACTCGACATTGGTTTTTTTTGTCATCTGAACATAAAATATATGAAGAAATTAAATTCTATTTTTAAATTATCTCGATACTGAGTTACAATTTTGTTTTTTTTTTGCATGTGTATATTTATATATATATTTTTTACAAATAGAGTCAATTTATTAAATATTTGTACATAGAGGTACAGTCACTTATACTATTACTGGTATTTTTTTAATCTCTAACTTCAAGTGTCAAAGGTATGGATTGGTGAGGGTAGTCGGATATTAGCAACTAGTAAAAAAAAACATGTTATCCATGTCCAAAATTGATCACTATTCAAGAAAAAAATATTCGAGTTGAATAAATTGCAGTTATGATGCTTTCTTAGATTTACGCGAATATTTGACACTTTAAATAAAATAAAATAGAAAAATATATATTTAAAATGCAGTCAACAAACATACCAACTACCCACACATCAAAAAAAAAATACAAAAGAAAAACAAACAAAAAAACAACCAAAAATGAATCTAATTGTCCCGGTTGCACAGTAACCTGCGCTGTTCTAACGATCAGCGTTTATTAAACACGTACAGTAAACACTATTCTTTCTCAGACTTCTTTCTTTTCCTCTTCTCCGTTTTCTCCGTCTTCTTCTTCCCCTTCTTCTCCGCTTCCGGTTCTGGGGACTTGAAGTCTTGTTTGCGTTTCTTTGGGGGTGATTTTATGGGTGATTTCTTTTCGGGGGTGGGTAATTCTTTTTTGGAAGATCTCAACTGTTTTGGGGACCGTACTTCCTTTTCAGGGCTGGGGGATGGCGATTTTTCGCTCGCATCCGATGTTTCGTCGCGTTTGTTAGACGATTTCGACTCTTTCGAGTCGTCTTCGCCGGGTATGCCCAATATCTCCGCCCACTGGTCGGGCGGGGGCGTGGGCTGTTTTTTTTCATCTTCCGTGGACAAGTCGGGTTGCTTCTGCGAGAGACATAGGGAGCTGTGAGTATTGGGTTAAGGTCTTATTCAGTTGTTTATTTAAAAAAAAGCGAACCTGCATCGGACACCTTACGTTTTACTTCTAAGAAAAAAAAATGTATTTATACTACTATACATTAGAATTGTATTAAGAAGCGTCGCAAAGCGAAAAAAATTAGGACTGGATTTTTTGTTAAATATTTTTCACGGTAGCTTAAGTTAACTAAAGAAAAAAAATTGCTTGAAAATGCATTGGATCTTGAAATAATTTTAGTAAAATAAAAAAATTTGTTCCACTTCGCATCGCATTCATTACTTTATACAGGTTGTTAGGTTATGGCCACACCTAACGTTCTCGTGGCGCCCACTTCGTTACCTTTTTTTTTAATTATTATCATTAAAAAAAACTTAGACGTGGCCAAGCCCTACGCCTGTCATAAATCTGCGGGTTGTCCGATGTAGGTTCCTAACACTATTTGCTCACCGTTGCTCCGTTTGTCTCTTCACTTAGCAAAATGCACTGCAAAACCACACTTATTTTTTCTATTTTTTCGTTTTTTTTTTTTAATTTATTATTTTAGTGCGGGGTAACGACCCCCGCAGATTATGACAGTCGCCTGAATCCCCCGAACACGCAACGCAACACGCTATATAACCGCGATTCGTTCATCCAGTTGGAACACCTTGTGAGATTCAAATTTTTTTATATGACCTTGCAGTACTTTAAGACTGAACCCGCTTTTAAAAATGGCGACGTCGAAACTTACGACAGATAAAAATTTAAAAATATATTCAAAGCCAAAGGGATGTAGCAAAAATCCATAATTAATAAAATATAAGCGAGATATGACAACACTATCACCAAGTACAGTGTCCGTGGCAGATTAGCTTTTATATAGAAAAAAAACACGATGTAAATAACCTGTAAATTGGCATTATGACAACGTCTAATTAGTGCTTATATGTTTAAACCACCAATATTTGTTGTACTTTACAGTAGAGGTTCTTCCTCTATTTTGAAAACAAAAGTTAATTTTTGAGAAATATATACATATTTATATATCATGAAATATATATTTTTCAGCTTTATTTATTATTTATTAAAGTAAAATGTGTATTTTAATTTCAATAGGATTGACATTTAAGTAGATAATTCTGTATTGAGAACTCTCTCGGTAAATTGGTCGCTTGGACAAATAAGCACTGACACGATGATCAGTTAAAAAAAATAAAACTTTAAGAATTAAGATACACAAAAAAACCTTGTTTTTTTTTTCTTTTACTTCATAACAATTCAAAATCTAAATGTCGTAGACTAAAAAAAACGTATTGAACACATAAATGTTAGTTAAAAAAAAATATCGTACTTTTTCTATACTCACGTCACCACCCTTCTCCTTCTTCTTGTCCTTCTTTCCATCCTTCTCCCGTTCCTTGTCCTTTTCTCTGTCCTTCTCTTTCTTTTCTTTTTTGCTGCCTCGCTCACGCTCTAAAGTATTTGAAAAATGTTAGTGATATTTTCGAATGCCTACTACATAGTTACTTAGTCAACTTTAATACTTATTGAAAAATCGAAACTAAAATATAAATATACATACGTACACTATTTTCTTGTTCAAAATTATTTTACATTCATACCACGCGAACAACATAGCGAGCTAAAATTAGTATCACTCAATTATAAATAAAAAAAAAAGATACTTTGGAAAAAACCAAAAACCGTAAAACCGATTTTGATGAAACTTGCTTAAATATACTGATCATAAAAAAGGCTCCGTACTTTTTAAAAGTGACTTTTTTTTCAATAGTATCAATTACCACAATAACAGCACCAATCACAATCGCTTCAGCAAAAAAGAGATAGCAAACTTACCCTTCTCCTTACCATCTTTCTCCTTCTTCCTCTCTTCTTTAACAATCTTACAATACTCTCTGAAATAATCTTCTCTCATCGTACTACTCTCGACTGCTTTGTATCGTGCGTCCGAATCGATTTTCTTTTTAATATCCACCCATCGCGCTCGTCTGTCCACGTTTTTTTCTTTAAGCAGCGCTATGAAGTCCGTCTTGGCCTAAAAAGGGGGGTATTTTATTATTATTTTGCTAAAGCTGGCGCGAAAAGGCTGGAGATTGTGATTTGAGAAGTGGCAGAGAGAGCTAAATTTGATAATAATAATTGACAAAAACTAGAAAAAAAATAGGAGATTCAGTTTGTCAGTCAAGTCTAGGTCACTAAGATTTTTTTTAATTCTAAATATGAAAAAAATAATTAAAAAAAACAACAAAAAAAGAGGGGGTTATCACAATATCGTTATCACAAAAAAATGGGCCCTTTTTTTAGTATAAAAATTTACAAAAATATTTTTTTTTATAATATATTCAGTCAATCTCCTCTCATAACTTTAAACTATTCGCCAAGCAAACTCTCTCAAACCACCACTCAAACCACACATAACTCCCAAAAAAAACGTTGTTTTCCGCAACATCTGAAAGAGAACAACAAAATTAGTTGCTGAAAAGAGACTTATTTATTAGAGTACTGTGGAGCGAAAAAAATATTAGTTCCTGAAAGAAAAAAACGATTATTATTTTTAAACGAAAGTGGAGGTTTTTAATACGTATTAAAAATATTGATATTTTTTAAAGGTTTAATGTATTTTTTAATTACGTGTTTTAAAAAATATTTTTTAAACAAAACTTTTTTATGTATTCTGAAAAATTATTGGTTTCCGATAGGTCTTCTATTATTGATGCAAATTTTGTGTGTGCATGTATCTGTTACTCTATTACGTTGAAATGGCTTGACCGATTTGGATGAAATTGTAACAGATAGACTAATACTTGGAATATTGATATTAGGATCATTAGACGAAATAATAATCTTTGAACAGTATAAAATAAACTAATCGTGTCTATCTGTTTGTTCCCTTATTCCTTCTAAATTACACATTTTTGATTCGGTATTGAATTTATTTAATGTAAATATGAAGTACAGTGAAAGCATGCTGCAAAATTTTTTTTTGTTTGTTTCCATGTTTTTTTTTTGATTTGTTATATTTTCTAATGTGGCACTGTATATATATTTTTCAAAAAGATGGATGAACTCAACTTACCTTTTATTTTGTGTATATGTAACGCTATATCTCTGCCAAATGCGATACCATTTTGATATATTTTTCAAATATAAATAGATTGCCAATTAACGATAATATCGCGAACATACATACAAAAAAAGTAAATTGAGTACCTCCTCTTTGTAAATCGGTAAAATATAACAAACAATATATGCCTAACAAATTATCCCGAATAGCAGAGACACAAGTATAATTAGAATATAATACAACAACAAAAAAAATGGCGGCGATTTTTTTTCTTTAAATAAAAAAAACTTTTTAAAAACCGTTTCGTTTGTACCTCCACTTTAGTTATCCCTTAAATCCTATCTATCTTTACGGTGCAAGCAATAATCAGCCTTACGGGTACTTAAATAAATACTTTAGTTGAAATATTTCAAAATATAGTTTTTTTTGAAATATTTTATTTTATAAAACTGTTTATTTTTTCATTCATTTATATACGCAGTTAGAGTCTGCATTATAACAGATTAATTAAAAATAAAACAAACATACATACACAAACACATTCACACTATATCCCAAAAAAATATTTTACATATATTTATATAAAGTGAATTAGTTGAATTAAATAAGTTATGGCTACTACTTATTATGAGAATCAAGGTTACATTTATGAACTATACAAAATGCCCAGGGCGAGAATCGAACTCGCTATCCACATTTATTATAGTCACTATAATGAACTATAATTGTGTCAAATTTATTTTTTCGTTCAGCTTTACAAAATTCCATCTTTTAATAAGATAAAAAAAATTCGACAATATACATACTTTGAAAATCGATATTATACTTTTGAGATTTTCACATATTAATTAACCAGTAAATAATAAAAACATTTTAATATAATAATATATGAATTAAAAACGTAAATTACTGTCTCACAAAAAAATCTTTTAAGTTATCGAGTTATCGATAAAAAATATCGATATTTTCATTGCGAGTAAACAATCGACCCGTGAAACTGATTTTGCATTTCTTTCACTATGTTTTACATTAAATACTTAATTTAAGTTTAAAATTCTTTCTTTAGAAAAAAAAATTTACAAAATTCTCAAACTGACTTTATATAATTTTACTTATCAAAATTCAATTATTTGTATTTCAAAAACTTTTCACAAAAAATCTACTTGTTTAACTTTTTAATTAATTTTAACTGTGATATTTGTATATGGATAATTTTGCACAAAGAAGTTTTTTTTTATTCTTTTAAATTCATATTAAAAAAAATCCATTTAAATTTAATTATACTTATCAAGAAAAAACAATTCTGTACCGTTCAATAGTTTTTAAGAAAAAATAAAAAATAAATCAACTCCATGTCATCACTGACATAATTTTCCAAAACAAAAAAAAAACTTCTTTATGCACCGTCAAAAAACAAAAAAAAAAATAACAAAACCTGAAAAAGAAATAATTAGTGAGGTACTTATTTATTTGACAGTTCGTTTTTTTATATATTAATAAGGATGGACTCTACTTTTACATTCCAATTATTTACATTTGTCTCAAAATACTTTTAAGTTTTGAAAAAAAAATAACCCATCACCTTCTTTTTTCATTGCAGTATGGCAACACTGCTCGGCATTTGCATGCAATCAAAATTTCGAAAGCTTTTTTCGGGACTTTTATATAACATAATTTTATTTATTGTATATTTTTACTCACCGAAGGTGAAATTTGGCCAATTTGTTAGAAAATTTTCAGATATTTCTAGTTTTAGACTATATTATGTGGGCTTAAAATTATATCTAACCTTATAGTTCGTCTCGTGCTCGGAGTGCTCACTTGACGATTATTATTTAAATATCGATTAATTGGTCAAAACGATTTTACTAATTTATAAAATCGACAAAGCAATGGAGTATTTTCAATTTGATGTGATAATTATTTAATATCGATAATTTTAATAAAATAGTATTATTTAATTATTCAAAACATAATAAAATTAGAAATCGTATTTGAATTAATAAAAAATATTTTTCAGAAAACTACCAAAACTTAAAAAATTTATAACCACCCCATCAAATTCCAAAAAAAAAATACAAAAAAGAAACATTAAATTTAAAAAAAGAACACCTAACATCAAATGACTCAAACTCCATCGCATCGACACGAAAAAAACCCATCTAAAACACAGTAACACGAGGCAACCCTGTACCACAGATTAAATTACGATTCGATTCGAAATCGATTCCAATATAGGTTCACGACAATTCGGCTAAGCGCGAGCGTCAAGTGAGCCCCCGCGTGTCCGCCGCCGCTATAACAAGCCCCTGCCGCCGGCGCCGCTCGCCTCGAGCTGTGTGTTTGCGTGACTTTGCCGTTATTATATCATTATTATTACGCTAGAAACATCGATTAAAAAAAAAACACTTTGAGACACCATTTTTTTTTGAATTTTTAGAATTCAACTCACTCAAAATCGTTTTTTTTTTTGGGAAAAAGAAATCTTAAGTTTATGTTCAGGTTTCATACTTCATTATATTATATATATATATGCAACAACATTCGTGTACGTATGTTCGTGTAACGGCATAATCATGAAACACATTTGCTTGATTGAAATGGAAAATAGATCAACAATAGTTAACATTTATCAAACACTTTTATACTACGCGTTTTAAATCATATTCTTATTCGAATATTACAATTTAAGCTAGCAACATTGTCTTTGAATTATTATTTTAATGAAAAATATTTTTTTTTCAAACGCATAATATAAAAAATCCCATCCATTTTCGATACAGTCCTTATTCAATAGTTAATTTAAAAAAAATAAAAGCAAACATCATTACATTTAAACATTTAATGTTAAAACAATATCGAAAACAGATAATAAAGTACTATATAGAAATTCCAATCATTTAGAAAAAAATTAAATCTAACATTATCAAAAATTATCAATAATAATAATAACAATAAAGAAAGTAGAAATATTCGCATAGCGGGATAGTCGCAAGCCTAAAAAGACATCACACGGGATTCGAACCCGCAATTTATACAGTAGTTTACAATTAAACATTCAGTGCGTTCAGGAGTCGAACCTGACATAAACAAAACAAAATTGGAAAAATAATAATATTTAATAGATAACACAACATCAAAACAAATAAATAAATAATTGGTTCTATGGTTATTATATGTAACAAAATTTAAAAAAAAGAAACAGAAATAAAAAATAAATGGAAAATGAAATAAAAAAAATGTAAAAAAACATTTTAATGCATGTCGATTTCTATAAAACCAATTCTTATCTACATAATATGTATATTTTGTATGCATTGCGATTATAGAAAAATCTATACATATCAGAAATATACACCGATTTCAATAAAACTTTCCAAATAAAAAATATATATATTATTATTATTCACTATTTACTGAAAAGTATTTAAAAAAAATTATTTGTATAATATTTTTTGAAATTGACCAAATAAACATACATTCAAAGTGTATTTTATAAACAGATTATATCAAATCTAGCGGATATAAAGACTGTCCAAAGAGAATTCCAAAGAGAATTCCAAAATCCAAAGAGAAAAAAAAAAGTACCAACTATATTTCGTTCAATACACCAAACTATTCAATAAGGCAAAGGTCTCACATCCATACATCCACTTGTCATTCACTCAGCCGACGCGCGGATCACGCTTACCTGTTCCCGTTTCCTGTCCTTCTCCTCCTTCTCCCGCTTGCGCACCTCCACAATGTACTCGTTGAAGTACGTCTCTCTGTCCCGCATCTTCTCGATGTTCTTGAAGCGCTCGTCTCGACTGTATTTACTCGAGAAGTCCGTGAACGATGACCTGATGATAAATGATTATATATCAACTACTACTAGCATCGCCCGCGGCTCCGCCCGCGTTCAGATGACCAAAAACCAAATTCTTAGGTTTCACATATTAGTATACTCTTACATTGCAGTTTTTATATTTTTATTCAGAAACGAGATATTTTCCCGCGGTAAAAAGTATCCTTATATGTTGACCCGGATAATCAGCTATCACCATACAAAATTTCATAAAAATCCCTCCAGTGGTTTTTCTGTGATGCGGTAACAGACAGACATTCAGACAAAAATTTCAAAAACTATAAATTCGGCCTCTGTATCGATAATAATGACTATTCCAATAAGATTTTCCAAAAAAAAATTAATGTACAGATTCGACTTAGTTAAAATTTTATTATATGTATAGATTAAGAAGTTATTTTTTTTTTATACTGTGTCTCCTCCATTCTTTTTAACATAGGCGAAGTAATCAGTGCTCAACAGACACGCTTTAGAGCCATTAACGAGAGAATTGGATTAGACTTCTACTGTATGAATTAGTGTATGGTGAAATAAGTTTCCATCAGCTCACTTGGAATGCAGCTTGGCCTCCTCCATGAGGGCGCGGAAGGCCTGCTTCTTCAGCTGGAGGCGGTTCTTCTTCTCCTTGCGCTCCTCCTCTGCGCGCTCGCGCACGTACTTGTCGAACACCTGCAAAACATTTGCTTTTTTTTTCCTGCATTTTTTGTTTAAATATTATATAATTTTCTTGTGGTATTCTTTCGAGATTTTCTCGTGGGAATTTCTTGTATTTTTATTGTATAATTTCGTGGGTAGACAGACAGACATGATTGCTGTAAATAAACATCAAGAATAAAAAAATCCAATAATAAGTTTTATTGGAAATATTTTAACTTTCCAGTAATAAGTTTTATTTGAAATATTTTAATTTTAAATCTGAGATTCTATTAATACATATACTACAAAAAAAACACTTTTATATCATATCCTTTTTTTCTCATATTTAGCCCTTTTTAAACAAACTAAACAAACACTGCCTCTATAATATTAGTATAGATTCAGAACAGTCTTAGACAGAATAAATCAGGGCGTCACCTGGAGCGGTTGTGTTTCTCTCGCATCTCCACACCCCTCACCTTCCACCCTACCTTCGCATCCACTCACCTGCTTCCTCTCCTTGGAGTCCAGTAGCAGATACCGGCTGTCGAAGACGATCTTGTGGAGCTCCTTCTCCCAGGGTGAGAATGCTGACACGTCGCTCTCGTGCAGCATCTGCAGGAAGGCGCGCACTCGCTGCTCGAAGGGAACGACGGCCCGCTCTCTCGCTGCGCGCGTCTCCGCCTCCATTGCTGCCTCCTTGCCTGCGTCTATGTTGGTCGACTTCTTGCGTGTAGTTGGTGCGGCTGCTGATAACGAAACATGTTGTGGATATACATAATGAAGTTATACTTTTTATGGGACGTTTGGAAAAAAATATACAGAACCCAGTTTTTAGAATTTTCGTTTGTCTATCTGTCTGGGAATGCATTACGAGAAAAACACTGGACAGATTTTGATGAAATTTGATATGATGATAGCTGGTTATTCGGGTCAACGTACAGGATACTTTTTTAGGAGTTTGAGTTTTAGAAATGGAAAGAGAGACGACTAAAAGAGAGGAGAGAGAGAGAAAATCCACTTACTCTCTTCAGGCTTGGGCTTCTTGGCGGGCTCCACCTCCGAGTCGGAGGAGTCAGAGTCCGCGTTACGCTTGAGCTCGCCGTTCGCGCTCTTCACCGGCGTCGTGGTCTTATCTTTGTTCTGCAAAACAAAAATCCTTAAATACACATACATATAACATTTATTATTGCGTGTGACACAAATATTTGACAGAAAACCCCAATAAATTATACTTAGCCCGACTGGAGAATCTAACCCAGGACCATGTGATTTGCAATCACACATGTTATGTGTAATATTTGTTAGCATTAGATCGTATTGATGAAACCTGTCTTATTTAAATCTACCGCACATTTTAATTTTTACTCAAAAGTAAAAAAAATATCATTAATTAGCAAAACTAACTGCTTTCCGTGTTTATTTCTTTTAAAGTATTTCTTATGCACAGAAAACGTAAACAAACAAACAAAAAAAATATTAGTGTTGGGTCCCGCCAAATATCAACTGTAACAATCCATCATTCGTCCATAATCTATGGACCACGTGGGAAGATTAGTACCAAACTACATGGACCATTAGTGCTGGATCATGTTGGCCCACATGGACCAATATGGAGCAGTACATGCTACGCTAGTGTTGGACCATCAACAACAAATGGACCAACCTCCTTCCCGTTAGCGGGCGCGGCGGCGGGCGGCGCGTGCGCGGCGTGCGGCGGGTGCGCCACCGCCTGGTCCACGTCGGCGCGGCCCGCCAGCTGCGCCGGCCGCTCCCACACCGACAGCCGCGCCGTCGGGTTGTAGAAGAACACGCGCCCGTCGCCGGTCCACACCACGCACCTGCGCACAACACACACGTCATTTACAATTATTAATTTACACTAAAAATATCTTTTTGGGATTTTTTTCGCGAATTTATTTTGATTTTTAGTTCACGACAACACGACGTAAGGTTTTAGATGTCTCAAAGGTGTTACTTGTTATAGACAGTACCTACCCACTATTTTACAAAAAAATACATAATTTAAAAAAATAAAAGATCCATCCGATCAATCTCCTTCGTGTCTCCTCCATTCTACGCGACATTGGCGAATTAATCTGTGCTCAACTGACACGCTTTGAAACCATTCACAAGAAATTTGAATTGTACAAAAATAAAAACGGCTGCCACCATGAAACTATTAACTTCCAAAACAATTTTCTAAAACCCACATAAAACCACAAAAACAATACATACCACGGGGTTCCAGATATCGGCGTACTCGACACCGGCCGACTCTTGTCCGTCTTCGCCTTCTCCTTTTCCGCCTTCTCCTTCTCCGCTCGCTCCCTCTCCGCCTTCTCCTTCTCCACTCTCTCCCGCTCCGCTCTTTCCCTCTCCGCGCGCTCCTTCTCCGCCGCCGCCTCGGCCGCAGCGACCGCCTCCGCGTGAGCCTCCACGTCTATTACTGGGAGAGTGATACAATATTTTATTTATTTAGGTACAGAAACAATCAAAATCTATACATATAACAAAATTCTAACCAAGCCGAATCTGTACATTGAATATTTTTTGGAAAATCTCATTAAAATAGTCATTATTTTCGATAGAGGCCGAATCTATAGTTTTTAGATTTTTGTCTGTCTGTCTGTTACCGCATCAGGGAAAAACCACAGGAGGGATTTTGATGAAATTCGGTATGGTGATAGCTGGTTATCCGGGTCAACATATAGGATACTTTTTACTGCGGGAAAATGTTTCATTTCTGAGAAAAAATACAAAAACTGCAATGTAAGAGTATACTAATATGTAAAACCTAAGAATTTGGTTTTTGGTCAACTGAACGAGGGCGGAGCCGTGGGAAATGCTAGTAATCTATATAAATAAAAATGTTTCTAAGCGCAAAACTCGAGAACGGCTCGACTAATTCAGCTATTTTTTATTTCGTATGTTCCTTAAGATACACGGAAAAATTTAATAAAGAGAAGAAAACTATACAGGGAAATAAAATTGAAGTGTCTGTTTGTAATGTCAAAATAACAGCTTTTTAAGAAATGCATATGAAATTATATACGGTACTTGTAAGAAAATCACATTTTTTAAAAATTTTATCTGCCTGTTTGTTACGGATAATATCTGAAACGGCTGGACCGATTTTGACGGGACTTTCACTGGAAGATAGCTGATGTTATATGGAGTAACACAGGCTACCTTTATTTTAGAAAAAGAATTAGGGTTCCGCTCAAAAAAATCAAAACGTATCTAGGGACGAACCCGAGCACAACGAGGGTTAATCGCTAGTAATAAATAAAACGTGTCTGTGTGTATTTATGTATAGATAGATATATAGAGTAAATGTGGGATAGATTTGTTTTTGTTTTTCACTTGGGACGAATTGAACTTCTTCTTCAGGAAGACCTGTCCATTTCCCAATCACTTGGGGTCGGCGCAGTACATCTTCTGTACTGCTGATAGGATTTGGCAAAAGTTTTACGACCGGCCGCCTCACGCCTGCCTGACGTCAACCCTCCTTGGGAATGCTATTGTCTCTCTTTGTCTGAATGGTGTCGCGGAAGTCTTGTAATTATTATGAATTTGCGATTTTTTTGTCTTTTAAAACATTTTTATACTATTACTTAAATTTTTAATGTTAATTTCGGGTATATTTTAAAATAAATTTTGAATTCACCATAAAAAACACGAATTGGGACGAATTGATCGAATGGGAAATCAACTGATTACCTTCAATTTTACTGTCCATTATTTCCAGTCTCTCTATTTTCTTCTCCGGCTTCTCTCCTTTCTCTAACGCTATTTTCGCTTGTAGTTCTGATATGAAACAGAGAAACAAACAAATATTAATATTAAGTCGAAATCTATATACATTATTCATTCATGTTGTAAAAGCTGGACAGATTTGGAACAAAATTTTGTATTCAGATAGATTGTGATTTGGAATAGCTGATAGGCTAATGTTAGTAATAAAGCTTATCAAAAGATGGCGCTGTCTGTTGGACTACTACTTTAATTATGAAAGTTTGTGTGTATGTTTCTTATTCTTCCACACTAAAACGGCTGCTCGGTTTTGAATGTACTTCAGTGCATAGATAGAGCACAATCTGGAGTAACACATATGCTACTATTTATGCAAATAAATAAAATTAAAGTGTCTATATGTACTGTCAAAATAACAACTTTTTACTAAACGCGTATGAAATTATACACGGTATGTCCGTCTGTTTGTTCCGGCTTATCTCCAAATCGGCTGGACTGATTCTGACTGGACTTTCACTAGCAGCTAGCTGATGTTATAAGGAGTAAACTAGGTTACTTTTATTTTAGAAAAATTAGGGTTCCGCTCAAAAAAATTAAAACGTACCTAGGGACGAACCCAAGCGATAATAAGATATATAGAGAAGATAGATGATAATAAGCAATATATAATTTCATATGCATTTACTAAAACGCTGTTATTTTGACATTACACACAGACACATCAATTTTATTTATCTGTTTATATTGCTGCCCACCTTCCAAGTCCCGCAGAGGCTTCGGTTTCTCCCACACGGAGCGGCGCGACGCGGCGTGGTAGTAGTAGGGGCGGCCGTCGGGCGCGCGGTGCGCGCTCCACTCCGCCGCCGCCGCCGACAGCTCCGCGGGGATCGCCTGAGGACACACACATACATACATATTTGTATTCAGCCCTATTTTAACGTCCCACTGCTGGGGTTGGACCTCTTTTCAGTACGATCGACTTCACATGTCTTTTGAAAACTTGCTAAGTCCTTTCAGACATGCAGGTTTCCTCACGATGTTTTCCTTCACCGTTAAGTCAAGTGGTGATCATGTTGAACATAATTCGCACATGAAAATATCAGAGATGCGAGATCCGGGAATTGAACTCGCTTCACTCGATTTCACAAACGAGCGTGTGACCACTGGGCTACCACTGCCACACACATACACATTAGGGTGATTCATTTCCGCCAAAAAAAAATTTTCTCGATGCTCAAGCAAACTATTAATCTACATATAGAGAAAAAAATTCTCACTAAATTTGAGCTCTTAATATCAATTTTAAGTACTTACTGTTTAAATTTGAACTTTTCAAATATAAAGAAAATCGCACCTCTGATATTATCATGTGCGAATCATTTCCAACATGATCACCACTTGTCTTACGGTGAAGGAAAACATCGTGAGGAAACCTGCATGTCTGAGAGAAAGAAAGAGTTGTCTGCAGACATGCTCGGTCCGCCCGCACTTGGCCAGCGTGGTGGACTATGGCCTGAACACCCTCGTATTGAAAGGGGGCCCACCCTCAGCAGTGGGACGATAAATTAAAAAAATGGTGGATATTCCACCACTCACCGTCTCCTCTTTCTTATTGGGGCCAGCGGGCTGGTCGGCCGGGGCTTCGCTGGCCGCCAGTGGAGCACCCATCTGTGGAAGCTGTGTGGCTGCACCTATACAACATAAATTACACATTTTAATATAATCAGTTTGAATTTTATTATATTTATGGATACATATAACAATTTACAATACAATGAACACTGACCGGCGTCGGGCACGGCGGCGGCGGCCAGGCCGGGCGGCTGCGCGACCATGGGCGGCGCCCACCAGCCGCCCCACGCGCCGCCCACACCGCCCGCCCCCGGGTTGGGCATCCCCATGCTCGCCATGTTGGGCATGTTACCTGAAAATCGATACAATTTAAATTAAAAAATATTTTTTTTTTATGTAATTAAATAATTAATTAATAAGACTAGTTCGCAGAGTGGTCAAAGTTCGACCATGATCATTATTGTTTTTTTTTTATTTATAAAACTAAAGCTTGACGAGCTTTAGCTATCAAACTAAAACAAAATTAAACAGAAAATAAACAGAAACAACTAAAAAATAAACAGATCGGTTCACAAACAAAATGTTTATTTTAATTAATTTAATGTATTTCTAATGTGTTTTATATAAAAATATTAGTCTGTCAAATTTCATTTTCCTCTGTCCGCATAATTATCTTAAAAATGGATACAAAGTTTTTGCTTCACGTATTAATACATAATTCTCAATTTGACCACAGACTTTAACAATAAACAAAAGAGTATATATGCGTGTGTGTGTGTGTGTGTGTGTCAAATACATGGTATTGTGTGTAATATTTTTTTTATTTATTTAATGTATTTTTTATGCTAAATAAAAAAAAATTAGCATTTTGCACTCCTTCTCTATATAAACTATAAGTGTGGGAAATTTCGTACTCCTCCGTGCTCGGAATTTTCTTAAAAAGGGGAAAAAGTGCACTCTCTATTCCTGTGACTCTCACACTCTGCTGGGACAACACTTCGACACAACCGGTGTGAGTTATGGCGCAGGACCAAAGGCTTTACGTGCCCTCCGAAGCACAGGGGCGAAACGCCGCCAACTTCCCTGCTATTGCTGTGAATTTTTCGACGGTAATACTCAATAAATGAACTTGGCCCGACCCGGTCCTCGAACCCAGTACCTTCAGATCTGCGACCGTAAATAGCAAATGATACATAATCTCACCCTTGTTCCCAGGGGGCGGAGCGCCGGCCTGCACGGGGGGCGCCGAGTCGCCGGGGGGCGAGTCGTCGTTGTCGGGGCTCTCCTGCTTCTCCTGCAGCTTGGGGGGTTGTTGCATTTGTGCGTTATCTAAAATATACATAAGCCTTATTTATATTGTATACCTAGTAGCGACTCACCTTCACTTCACTCAGGTTAATCTCTAGTTTGATTCCCCATACAAACCTTCATCCCCATTTTCACCTCCTTAAAGGATAATTTCCGGGATAAACAGTATCCTATGTCCTTCCCAGGGTATCAAACTAGCTTCTTACCAAATTTCATCTAAATCGGTTCAGTAGATCCAGAGTTACCCCCTACAACGTCACAAACTCACAAACTTTACCTCTTTATAATATTAGTAAAGACTTAGAGACTTACTCTAATTCTTTTTTTTAAATAAAAGTAACCAAGTTACTCCTTACAACATCAGCTATACAGTCGCACGCACGTAAGAAGTTATACTTCTTTGTCGTAACAGAACAAAAATAGCTAAAGATTTCATCCCGTATGTCACAACTCTCTGTCTGTAAAAGGAATGCAGCTAACTTTATCATGTCGTTTTATGGCTGTCGGTATGCGCGCGCATCGTATAAATTATACTCTCATATTTATTTCCAAACGTGCCAAAATAAGTATAACTTCAAAAAATTGCTTAATAAACCTTGTTTATACCATTAGGTGGTCTTTTAAAATTCAATACATACATATTTTGACTACCAACAATTTATAAATTTTAAATGTAATATTAATAATGAATGTGAAAAACCTCTCATTTAAAAAGTTTGGTAAATCAAAAACATGTACTCACTATCCTTGACCCACGGAGGTGGTTGAGTCATGAATGGGGGCACCGCACCCGGCGCAGGTCCCTGAGGCCCCACTCCTGGGGGCATCATACCCATCATGCCGTTGGGCATCATCCCCATGGGGGGCCCGCCCATGGGGGGACCTCCCATTGGACCGTTCATTGGCATTGGCTGACCTCCCATACCAGGGATTTGACCTGATGACAAAAAACAAAAGTAACTTTTAACTTATAAAAAAATTATAAACGGCTTGCTTCCCAATACAAACTTTCATCCCCATAAGGGATGATTTCCGAATCTGAATCGGTTTAGTAGATCCAGATATTACCCCCTACAACGTCACAAACTCACAAACTTTACCTATTTTTAATATAAGTATATATTATACTGTCCCTATGTGTCTAAAAGCAGCTTTTGTGTTACTCCAGAGCATAATTTATATATGTACGTCATCTAAATTCGAGGTTTTAACGTAACAAACAAACACAAAAACTTTCACATTAAGAATAACAGCCCAAAAAGTCCTGATTAAATATAATTTTAGTCCCACTGAGTTTCTTTCGCTTGTTCTTCTCACTGAGGCGTTCTCATTTCAAACTTGCGACATCGTTTCTTTTTTAATTCAAATAATTAAAGTAGCCTAAGAAGAACTCTTAAAGCCAGAATATCTTTTGTTTTTATCTCACATAAATATTATTAACAAATTGCTGTTACATACTATTTTTTTTTATTTTATTACGTTTTTTTTCATTCATTCACAAGTACATAGTGTATAAAAACTTAAAAAAAACCGACTTTCAGGCACTTAAATGTAAAAAATAACTAAATGGAGGATTTCATTTAGAATAGATACCTAATCAGATGTTTTCGAAGTCGGTGCCAGCCGATGCAAAGCAAATCTAATATATTTCGATATGTAAAATACATATTTACCTATTAGATATTCATATTTTATAATATTTTAGAAAAAAATATCCAAATCGGTTCAGGCGTCTTCGAGTAATCGGTGAACATACATAAAAAAAAATTAAGAACCTCTTCCTTTTTGGAAGTCGGTTAAAAATTAAAAACAAACAGCAGTCCAAACAAACCTGTAGCAGCCATAGCCTCAATCTCCGCCTGTGTGATGACCTTGCATGTGGGGCTCTCCTGCGGCCTGGTCCATGTTGTCTCTCTTGTCCGAGCGTGGTAGTAATATGATTTGCCTTCCTCTGACTTGGTCTCCACCCAGAGTTCTGGCGCTGGCTGTGAGGAATTAAAATAATAAAGAAACTTTTACTCTAATTTCTGTTTTGTAATGTCATTTAAATGATACACGGAAAGATGAGAACAAAGGATAAAGATGTTATTATATATTATTGTAAGACGGCTTAAGCTTACCATATTAGGTGGAGGCATTCCTGGTGGTCCAAATGGTGGGGGTTGACCCATCATATTGGGTGGAGGGCCCATTGGACCGCCTGGCGGCATCATACCAGGCGGTGGTCCAAAGGGTGGTGGACCACCCATCATGCCAGGAGGGGGAGGACCCATGGGACCCCAATTATTATCAAAGTTCGGTCCATTATTTGGTCCAAAGCGGGGACCTCCCCTGCCTCTGAAGAAGCCCCGACCACGCATTGGGGGGCCGCCAGGTCCATAGCCCCTACCACGGAACCTCATTGGTGGTGGCGGACCGTTCATCCATCCAGGCGGTGGTCCACGCCCGCGACCCCTGTGTAATTAATTCCATATTGATATTTCATACAATAAAAGTTATAAACAAATTAACACATACACATATTTATATATATGAAAGTACAGAAAAGAAATGTGTAATGCAATGTCACCTTAAGTATGTTCTCGGCAAAAAAAATTAAAACATGTGACATATATATTTCAAATATAACATAACCTGTACATAAAAAAATTATGCCTGATTAAGTTTTTTTTTGCTTTTCGTATTCTTTTTGGCAGTCTTTTTTTTTGCACAAGTTTAATATAATAAAATAATATAATATTTAATATAATATTTAATACTATTTAACACCCCACTTTTGGACACGTGCCTCCTCTCAATGCGAGGGGGAAGATGGTTAAAGTCCACCACACTTACAAAATGCAATTTGACTTTATAATTAGTAGTTGACAATCATGTAGAATATCGATAATAATTTGCACACAAATCGGTGCAAGACTAAGGTCTGAACCCATTTCACTTGGTTTTCCAAGCGAGCGTAATATTAAAAACTATGTATATATGTATTATTAAAAAAAATAATAATAATAATAAAAAAAAATGTATTATATAATATACTAGCGTTTTCCTGCGGCTCCGCCCACATAGTACACTAATCACCAATATATCATATACTAAAACCTTCTCCAAAACACACTGCATCTTATGGTATGAGTATTATTCTGATCAGTTCAGTAGTTATTGCAATATAACCGAATAAAAAAAAACAGCTCTCCATTTATGATATAGTATATGTAGATATAGTTTTACAATAATTGAATTAGTAGTTCCTGAGATTAGCATGTTCAAACTTACAAATTCTGCTCTTTTCTACTCTACTTCTTTAATATTAGTATTTTATGATTTCATATTATCCTTATTTTGAAATGAAAACATTTATATATACAGATTACAGATTGTAGTGTCTGTTTATGTCAAAAATAACAGCTTTTTACTACTAAATGCATATGGAATTATTTATGGTATTTATAAAAAAAACACAATTTTTAAAAATTTTGTCCGTCTGTTTGTTCGGGGTAATCTCCGAAACGCCTGGGCCGATTTTGACGGGACTCTCACTGGCAGGTAGTTGATGTTATAAGAAGTAACTTAGGCTACTTTTATTTCAGTAAAAGAATTACGGTTTTGTTCAAAAAAATAAAAGTACATAGGGACAAACCCGAGCGAAGAGAGGGTGAGTCTCTAGTTTTAAAATATATTTGTTATATGTAACAATATTTTAATTTTTTTATAATTTGTAGGCATTTCTTAGTATACATTATAAAAAATACACAAATACATCATCGCAAAGCATAATCACATTTGGCAGTGGCAAGTGGTAAAATCTAAACAGAGGTTAGCCATTCAGTCTGGATTTGAAATTCATTAAAGTATACTATATAATATTATACTGTAAAGCTCGTCATACTCATAAAATAACTTAAACATACTCAGATGTTACTTTTTTTTTTCATTTTCTTATTCCTCAAGTAAGAAAGTCAGTAAACTGATAGAAAAAGTTTATATGGACCCTTCGCCACTTATACAGGATATTAATAAATGGTCCCATATTAAAAAAGAAAAAGAAAATATAATATAGATATATCAGATTATTGTTAAGTACAATTAATGTGAAAACTGGTTAGCATAGCTATATTATAAAATCCAGCAAGCCAATTATATAATTAATTGAAAAATATGAGTATATTAATAACTTATGTTTAATTAACGAGTGTGGGGTCTCTTAGCCGACAGCTTGTCTGATGAGCGAGGCCTAGTATCAAGCTTGCTTTATTCTATAGTAGGTTCATTTATCATAAAAGTTATACTGATGGCCGCATCATATCAAAACCAATATATTGTAATATATAAGCATACCACATTAACATTTTCCAAAAGCACATACCGTCTGTCCTGCTATCAATTGACTGTCTAAAAATATCATTGGTTCTTGATAAATATTTATGTAAAGGTGATTTATGATTGTTGTTACACATGTTTGATCAATAATTATACTTTCAGATGCAAATTTAAGTAATAATTAAAGGTTAGCATGTTAATATTAAGGATACTTGTATTTTTATATATTATATAAATTACATATACTTTAGAAATTTTTAGGGATTTACGTACATGGAACACTAAAAAATCTATTAATGTTATAGATTTCATTTATTATTTTCTTAGTCTGGCGTAAGGTTAGTTGAAGTTAATTTTAATTGTAAATTAGTAATGTTTTTATATTTATTTTATATAGGTTTTAATTATAAATAATTATGAAGTAGATATGGTAAGTACTGAAATAGTGCGCAAAAACGGAGTGGATAAACAGCTTGAATTTTCAAATAGTATACAAAAATAGCTATACCTGAAATTTCCACGTCCACCTCGACCTCCTCGGAAGCTGTTTCCTGGATCATCATCATCAAATCCATCATCATAGCCCGACGTATCACCAAAATCTTTGGAGGGATCACTAACACTATCGCTAACTTCATTCGAACGATTTATAACATCGTTCATGCCAGAGTCTTGCGTATCCATATATTCGTCTTCCATTTTAATAATATTCACAAATTTTTCACTTATCACTTATGTCCGCATGCCTAAACTATATGTTTTAGGCAAACACTACAACCACATTTTGCAATGGCGGAAACAACATTGTACCCAAAATGGCCGCCGGTGGCTTCGATAGGGATTTCCTTATAGAAACAGATTAAATATAATCGGTTTTACCAGATTTACGATTTTTTTTATTAAAACGTGCTTTATTATTTGCAATAAAAATGAAAACTCGTTATTTTTAAAACATTTAAGCTTAATATAAGTAATATTTAAAAACTATATTTAAAAAAAAGGTAAACGGTACCAACGGTACCAATTACTCTTTTTTAAATCTGATCTTTTTAAAATTAGATGTTTTTTGTTTTTTTTTTTGGAGTCATTGCGTATATTTTTTGCCAGAATTAATAATTTTTATCACACTCACGCTTATCCGATTCGTTTTCAGATGTTTTATGCATGCGTAGTATGGATGACAAATAAAGATGCGTAGCAATATTCTTCTTTTAAACAATTTCTTACATATTGTGTTTTAAACATATTTATTCGAAGTTTTAAACATTTCCATTTGTCTACTTCATGGATTACTGTCTACTTTCTCATACAAACAATTATAAACGCGTCTAGCAACTTTATTTTTATTATTGTTGTCGCCGTTAAATACAGTCTATGTGAAACTTTTCTTTATTTCTGAATTAAGACATTACGTTTCGTACATGGCAGCTTTATGAATATGCATCGGTAAAATAATAAATCCTAAGTTATACATAGAATACCTTATCTAAGGTTAAGTTTTAACACAAACAACAAAGAGTTTTGTGTGTAACACTCACTATATGCCATTTGAAAATATATACTAATATTATAATTTTATTAGTCGAACACTGCAATAACAAATAATCAATAAAAAACATATCACAATAAAAAAACATGACGTGATAAAAGTATATGTAACGTAAATTTTGAAGACAAAATTTGTAAACAGAAAATCAATTCAACAAGAAAATTATTTGTATTAGTTATTGTAAAAAAAAAGTTTCATTTTATTTTGTAAAGCTTAGCTTAAAAAAAAAGACTGACAAAATGTTTAGTATTGATCTGGTTTCTATATTAGACTAATCGGAATCCGTTCATTTTTAAGAGAAAAAATATATTGAAAACATGAAGTTTTATGTTTTTAAATGTTAGCAGGTAGGTATATACGACTATTCAATTCGTAAAATGCCCCACATGCCCGTGACATGCAACTTTGAGGTCATTTTAAAAAGTGTTTTTATAAAAGTTGTATATTTTTACTAGACATTCCTCTTTTGTAGAAAACATTTTTCAATAGAACGTCACAGTAAGCCGGAAATTAAAAAAATCTATTTTTCAAAGCTTTGCGTTTCCCCATTTCTCGGGGGTAGCTGGGCATGTGGGGCATTTTACGAATTTCTATTCCTTATATACCTGCTAACATTTTAAAATCATAAAACTTCAGGTTTTCAATATTTTGTTTCCAAACCGGATTCCGATTGGACTATATAGATAATGAGCCTACTTAAAAGGATATTCAAAAAATATTCGAAGTATTTTAATTAAATTCTTGTGACCCAAATATGAAAGTTATTATACGTCTGAAATTATAAAATATTCCCCAAGGAAGTCCCAGAAGAAAACCTAAGAAGCCTCCTCCGTGTGATTATTGTGTGACAATCATATCTCTGGTGTGTGAACCGCTGATGGGTGTACGTGTGCTTGTGTGCTGCTGCGGACATGCCACACACGTATCATAGAGTATGTAACCCAAACGTATATCCTCGTAGTGCGCGTCTTAGAGTGAAAATTAAAAAGGCACAACATCGATTTCATTATTATTGTTTAACTTTAAATAATAACGTACTAAAATAAAAGAAAATGTTTTTAATGCAAATTTTAAGAAAATAAAGGAATTATACCATTAATTTTGTCAATAGGTATTTATTTATTCATCAATAATACTTAAAGAGCTTCTATTGAATAATTAATATTCTCTAATATCTCGTTGCTATAAGACTTTTCACGGTGTTTGGGTATCACATTTGCCTTCAAAAATAGTCCAGTCATTTTTTAGCCTTTTCTTGTCTTTATACTTTTCTGATATATATGCTTTCAGAACGGGTTGCTTATTTACAGTCTTCTTAGATTTTATTTTGATATTATTATTTTTATATTTATGCATGCATTTTGTTGAGAAATAACAGATACCAATTGAATTCGATGGTAATAGTGTACGTGCATTAATTTTTGGCTTTGTGTAGGGATTTGTTCTGTTCAGAGTTGGTTTTGTATCATAAGGAAAAGGTGGTGAGGAATATGTTGGTTTAGGATCCAATTTTTTTGCCATACTGTCACTTTTTAAATTTGAAAGTAAAGGTGAATTTTCTTTAATTGGAGATTTTTGTGGAGTTGCAGGCCAGCGGATAGCTGAGTTCTTTGTGGTTGAGCTTTGTGCTGGTTGAGGGTATGGGACGTTCACAGGATTTTGGCCTGGTGTAGGCGAAATAGGAACGTTATAACCCGGTCCAAAGTAAGGATTATCTAAATTATACTGACCGTATTGATCGTATGGAGTATAGCTATATGGATTATAATTATATTGCATGTAAGGATGGTGCATATAATTGTATGTATTGAACGTATGCCAGGGATCATGTGTAACAAAAGCATTATTAGGTTGATATGCTTGTTTTGATTGAGATTTACCATCTACACTACATACTCCACAACAACTTAGAGGTCCACAGGGACCACAAGGTGCAACGCATGCTGGTCCACATGGACCACCAGAACAAGGAGGTGATCGTCCACATGGATTAACTGGACCAGAACAAGGGCCAGATGGCCCCGTTTTTACATGATATGGGCCACAAAACCAAGTTCCGTAGGGGTAGTAATAGTATCCTGTCATATATTGAAGACACTTAGCAGGAGTGTTACAAGGTGGCGGGAGGCAATTACATGACGCAGGACATGCACAAGTAGCGCTTATATTCTTAATTGCACTATATGCTGGATTTTGTGGTGGGCTTACTGTAGAATATGTGGAGGATAACCGTTTATGGGCATTTAATAGGATAAGATCATATTGTAAAAGTTTACTTTTAAAAAAGTGATTTTGTTTATTCAAAAGCATAGCTGAGTAAGTTTTTCTTATTCTTATAGGTAACAAGTCTTTCGAACACTTTGTGTTCTTAATAAAGCTAGGACAGGAGGCAGCCTTATGCAGTTGAAAATCAGGCTCGACAATCCTTTGATTTTTAACATCCTTAGGCTTAGATAAAGGTAATATAGTAACTTTTCGTGTTCTCTTGCTTAAGTTCCTCTTCATTGCGTTGTGCACTGAAAGGATGATTTTACTATAATGATACTGTAAAAAATCATAAAAAGGTCTAATAAAATTAGTGTAAAAAACAATATTTCGTTTAGAACAGTGTTTATTTGTGATATAATATTAAAAGTGTAAAATAATATTAAAAAGCAATTCGTTTGTTTTTAACATTTATTTTTCTTATCATAGGTTATTTTTCTTATAGAAATGTATTTATAGCTGTGTCAGGTTTGGGGTCCATTAATGAGTTCTGAAGCTGTTATAATTCAAATGGCTCAAAATCTTTGCTAACACGTGGACGATGACTTTTCCTCTCTCTTTTTACAAATCGCGAATATTTTAATAAATCATGCTTGTGTAAGGAATCTCTCTTTTTCTTTTCCGAAATAGTTCTATCTTCTTGCATTGAGTTTGTCATTTTGTGTCGTTTTTGATCGTAGATACTTTTCATTTGTTGCGATCTGTCGTATATAGGTGATAAATCTTGTGTCTGTTGTTTTGCTCTAGTGTGGTAGGAATTGGATTTATTCTTGTTATATAATACTGGATATATTCTTTGAGATTTTACAGCTACATTAGATTGGGGTGAAATATTTTTAGATTGAGATGAGGTATTTTGATATGGGTAAATCATAGATGTCATTACTGGTGGCAGAGTTCTCTTTGGTCTTAACTCGTTTTTGGTTTTATTAGGATTTAAATTAAAAAGTTTTGAAATTCCTCTTTGCGATTGTGGCGTATCAGACAGCGATTGGCAAGGTGATTCTGCAGGAAATGGATTATCATTTTTCCTTTTATTTTCTGCATATTCCGTATTTGGTGCTGTACATACACATGCCGCACAACATTTTGGACAAGGGTAAGGACACTTTCCACCTACTGAACCACATGTTCCAGCCACGTGGTAGGGTCCACAAAACCAAGTGCCATACGGATAGTAATAATATCCAGTCATATATTGAAGACAGCGAGGTGGGGTATTACAGGGGGGTGGTAGACACCCGCATCCACTTTTGCATCCACATGGGCCGCAGGGAAAGGGGCATGGACATCCAGCGTTACAGGCTTTGGAATATTCTCGTTTTGATATAACACCATGTGTATGATATTTTAAAAGATGAGAAGTGCTGTAATTTCTAACAGGTAAAAATACTTTTTGTGTGTTTATATGAGTATACGATGCACTTGCTATTCTGGGAGGACGGGCAGAAAAAGGTTCGTTACAAGAACGCAGAGGTAGCATTTTCATTTTTCTGATTTTTTTAAGCGCCATAGAAAAAGGTTTAGTCTTGTACCCCCGACGTGCCGCCGCCTTGACTGTAAAGTATGATTATGCTCAATTGTTTATTTCAAGTAATAAAATTTAGAAACAAAATAAAGTTATAAAATCCATACTATAATATAATCCATACAAATATTATAAATGTGAAAGTGTGTTTGCTTGTTAAATAAATATGTCAGGACATTAACATGCAACACCATCTAGTTCCATGGTAAGCTACGGGGCTTGTGTTATGGTACCAGATAGTTGATACATTATACATATATAACTTTTAAATACATACATATTATAAGTATGTTTGTTTGTCCTTCTTTCACGTCGAAACGGAGTGACGGATTGGCGTGATTTTTTGTGTGGAAATAGTTGGAGGGCTGGAAAGTGACATAGGCTACTTTTTACTGCTTACTAGATTATCTTATTTCCATGGGAAAACACGTTATAATCCAAAAAAATATTTATGATCAGAATTACTTGAAACTTGGTATTAATGCTCTTCAATAAAATTAAATAAATAGATGTTTTAGCATTTTTTGAAAATTCATCCTATAAGGAGGTACTCGTAAAATAGGGGATGAAAGTTTGTATGAAACTACCCTTTTAGAGATTTTTTTTGTAGTTTATTGTGAGCGAAGCCGCGGTTTCTGCTAGTATAAAATATTTTGGTTTGATATTTTAACTAAGACTTAACAACATTTCAAATATAATACATAAATTTTAGCAAGATTAAGCTAAGCGTCGATGAGTCTTGATTTCAAATAATAATAAATAAAATATTTTAATGCAAATTATTTATTTATTATAGTGAATCGTTCTAATGTTCACCTCTAGAAAATCACAATCGGATCTATCCCACGGAAACAGTTCATTTTTTCGAGATTAAAGTAACTTATTCTTTGACCGGCAATATAAGATATCAGCATGCCAAATTTTACTAAATTAGGTGCATAAGTTGTTGTGTACTAAGCTGTATAAGTTACTATAGGTTTTTAACTATCCCACGGGAACTCTTTAATTTGCCGGGATGAAAAGTATCTAAAATGTTCACCGGTGATATAAGGTACCACCATGCAAAATTTCATTTCAATCGGTTGAACAGTTTCGGAGATTAGCCTAGATTAACAAAAATTCTGAAAAAAAACTAGATTTGTTCTATTTCTCTTTTTACGCCTCCCTGACTCGGTTTTTAGCATCTTTTTTTCTATGTACAGATATTAGACTTCTACACTTTTATTATATGTATATTCGTCCGTAGTGTAATCATTCAATGAGTTTCAAAAGTAATCGAAACTTCGCAAATTCAAGTTCTTATTCTTTAAGTATGAATTGAATTAAAAGTTTCTATCATAATAATTCTAATAAGAGGAGGATAAGTGACAAATATAATAAAGACAACATCATTAAAGTAATAAAAGTGAAAATAGTCAAAGCTACATCAAAATAATTTGGGATACGTAAATAAAATAAGAAAAACATAATATACGATTGTTTAATAGCAAAAGTTATGGATATAAGTTATTTCATGGCGTTATTTTTATAGAACTTGGCATTCGTACATTCGGTGGTTTCTTTTCTTTTGGATCCATCTTCATAGATCCTTGTTGCATTGGCTCCGGAGATACTACGGCAGCAGCTGCCGCAGCTGCTGCTATGGGCCGAGCTCCACACATTGGGCAGGTTGCACTTTCACATTTCTTAGGTGGAGGGCATTTCATAGGTGGAGGGCATTTCCCAGGACATGGGCATGGACAACAGGGCCCTCATGGTCCACATGGGCCACATGGACCACAAGGGCCGCATGGTCCTGGGCAAGGGCAAGGTCCACACGGTCCGCAAGGTCCACTGGGGCCACAAGGTCCACAAGGGCCACATGGCCCGCAAGGACCACAGGGGCCACACGGACCGCAAGGTCCACAGGGACAGGGGCAACGGCATGGTCCACAGGGGCCACAAGGTCCACAAGGTCCGCACGGACATCCACAGCTTGGTTCATTTTTCCCTTCGCCTTTACTTTCCGCGTAGCCCCGGAATTGTTTGAAATCACCATTACATAGAGTAATTTTTGAATCGTGGGTAATAAACGCAGCGCGAGCTGTAAAGAACATCCATATATAATACTCGGTGAGGTTGAGCTGGTGAGTGTTATTCGAAGAACGAGGGTCGAGCCGAGTATTATAGATGGACATTCTTCGCCAGCGGCCACCGTTCTCCGAAATAACAGTAACACCAGCGACAAAAAAACACGAATAAAATATTTGAAATATTTAAATTATATAAATGAATTCCAAATAGTATCATATTGTATTATGACAACATTAAGTGCTAATTTAAAAATGGACAAGATGATAAATACAAACTTAGCAATGCTAGCTAATTAACTGATATTAATTATTCTATTATAATTTAAGCGTATTTAATAAATGCCGATTAAGCACAACACTAACAAATTTTTAAAGATGAGGCTGAATGGTACTATACTTTTTACTTGAATCTATTCAGAAAACTAAACAATAAACGATTAAACTTTAAAATATATCTAATTCAATTAAATGCTTGAAATTTAAAATGAAATAAATTTTTAATTTACACTTACACAATGGTGCTGTATTTTTCTTATACATGGATGTAGATATTTGCCGTCCTTTGATACATTTTAAAAACGTAACATTTTTCGGTAATACTGCTTTCCTCAAAACTAGTGCCATTTTTTTAACTTTTTATTTTGATTTTGGGATTTTTACTATATAAATTTTGAATTTCTATTGTATTTTATTACTTGAAAATTTTGGCCATGGTATATGGTCTTGACGGAACAAAAGCTATTGTGAATGTATCGGAATTTGAATGTTTTTATTCTTCTTTAATTTTTTCTTTTTTATGGAAAGAGAAGTTGATATTTTGATTAAAACCTTATTTTAATTTTTCTTAAAATTTATTTTTATTAAGTGTTGGGTAAAAATTATCAATGATATTACATTTAATTTGTTTATTAAGCTATTGCATAGCTTCTATCGCGGGCCTTGAGCGTGGGGACCGAATCCAGAAATTCCGTAACGAAAAAAACCTGACACCCCCCACTCCGACCGGCACAGCGGTGATACTTTTTTGAAATATCACGCTTGTCTCTTTAGTTCAGCAACCCGCCTTTAGGTGGCATTGGTTGTATTGGAAAACTACCGTAATCAGCTGTTTGTGAGAAAGTATATAGGTGTATAGGAATTTATCATCTATGTACAACAGTGAGTATCTGTACTCGTATAATTTGTGTACAAAGTGTTTTAAATATGAATAAACAAAGTGCATTTATTAATGAAGAAAGTCGAGGAAAAAAAATACTGCATTAATAATATAAATAAATAATTATAATTGCATAAGTTGATAAAAAATGCTATGCAATAGCTTTACCGCGGCAGTCTTCGAGTGCCACATTTAATTTTTTGTTTGTATATCAGTCGAAATAGTAAATTAATTCGTTTTTTTTTAAAGTAACCTTTGCGCTATTCCAGACCATAACCGATCTCTGTGCCAAAAATCCAGATCTGTTTTGCCTTCCTGATGTGATTGAGTAACAAACATCTATCCATCCATTCATCCGTGCTCACAAACTTTCACATTTATAATAATACTAGCATTGCCCGCGGCTCCGCCCGCGTTCAGATGACCAAAAACCAAATTCTTAGGTTTAACATATCAGTACACTCTTACATTGCAGTATTTGTATTTTATTCAGAAATGAGACATTTTTCCGCGGTAAAAAGTATCCTATATGTTGACCCGGATAACCAGCTATCACCATACCAAATTTCATCAAAATCCCTCCAGCGGTTTTTCTGTGATGCGGTAACAAACAGACAGACAGACAAACATTCTAAAAACTATAGATTCGGCCTTTGTATCGATAATAATGTTTATTTTACAATTTTATTATACGTATGTATAGATATCCCGTTTAAAAAAATATTAATTAATTAACTTATATATTGCATAAAAATAAATTAATAAATCACGTTATACATATTATACAATACAAAAATATAAGAGTTTATGTTAACATCATCAAAATTAGGTTTCATAGAAACAGTTGAGACCTAATCTTCGTCTCTATGCGGAGCCTCACTAGTCTCTACTTCTTCTTCTCCACTTGCTATGGAATTAGCTACAGCAGATCCCATGAAAGCCTGAAATTAAAAAAAAACACAGTGTAGACAAGTTTTCTAGACATATCCCACCCTAATAATATTATAAACGCGAAAATTTGAGAGAATGTATGGGTGTCTGGATGTGTAGATGTATAGATGTTTGTTACTCTTTCACGCAAAAACTACTGAATGGATTTTATTGAAACTTTACAATAATACTTTTTATCCCGGAAAAATGAACTGTTACAGTGGGATAGATTTGTTTTTGTTATGCTAGTGCTATAATGACGTAAGTTAATGTAAACAAAAGAAGGAAAAAACTTATCAAGAGAGAGACAAAAGTGCTTGTCTGTGTGTTTGTCTGTGTGCATGTGTGTACACACGTGCGCGTGATTTTTTGTCATCAGACAGACTCGTAGTTGTTACTTTATGAAGAAAGAAACCCACCTGACAGCACGAGCACATCAGACACGTTAGGCAGGCCATACACCAAGTGCAACAATTTGATCCACCGCAACACCCTAATTGCTCTGAAAGTAACGATAGCCATCATCACCAACATCAGCACCACCATCATCATCATCACTATAATTACGGATTCTGTACTGTCACACTGTGTGCCTAGTGCGCGTTTTTGAAGTAAAACTTCTTGACTTGGGGAGTAAGCTGGTGAATGCGTTACGAGAAAATGTACTACGTTTGTTGCCATGGTAACCGTTGTTATTGTCTGACAAATCTACATTAAATATTTTTTAGGAAAATCTTATTGAAACAGACATTATTATCCATAAAGAGATCGAATCTATAGAATTTTTGCCTGTCTGTCTGTCTGTCACGGAAAAACCACTGGAGGGATTTTGATGAAATTTAGTACGATGATAGCTGGTTGTCCGGGTCAACATATAGGATACTTTTTATTCGATCGCGTAAATGTTAAGGCGGATTTATACAAAATTAGAACCGCGCCATCTAGTGACAAAAACAGACATCATTTTCTCTTTTGACGTTAAGGGCCAGTTCCACTAAATTATTATAAATCAGTAATTAACTAAGAATATGTATGTTTACATTTGAAGATACAAGACCGACTTTGTTAAAATAATAAATATAATTATTGTTTATCTAGCGTGTACGATTTTTACTTATGGATGAATTAAGCGGCTTATTTCGGTATTAAAATCGAAATCCAATTTTTCTCCTCTAAGAATAGCCGTTAAACAATTACATATTATATTAAAACCTGTTCTGAGCCCTGACTGAAGGCAAAGGTCTTTTAATCTATCTGTACTAATATTATAAACAGGTAAAGTTTGTGAATTATGAGTTGGTGAGTTTGTTACGTTGTAGGAGGTAATCTCTGGACCTACTGAACCGATTTAGATGAAATTTGGTAAAAAGATAGTTTAAGATATTGGAAAGGACATGGGATACTTTTTATCTCGGAAATCATCCCTTAAAGGGGTGAAAATGGGGATGAAAGTTTGTATGGGGAATCAACCTAGAGATGAACCCGAGCGAAGCAAGGGCGAGTCGCTAGTCTAAAATAAAATTAGATTTTCTGATTTTTTAAATCATCACATTTGTTCGCCAAACATATTAAAAAAAAGTGAAAATCGATTCATGATTGACAGACATTGCGTGACATATAACCTCAGAAGCACATGAATTGAACACCTTTATTCTTTTTCTTTCTACTTTGAAAATCGGTCATTAAAACATTCAAAACATCGCTCAAAAACCCATATTGTTACTAGTTGAAAACAAATAATAACATTTGCCTTACGGTGAAGGAAAATATCGTGAGGAAACCTGCATGTCTGAGAGAGCCTAGCAAGTTCTCTAAAGACATGCTCAGTCCACCCGCACTCGGCCAGCGTGGTGGACTATGGCCTGATCCCCCTCGTATTGAAGGGAGGCCCACCCCCAGCTATGGGACGTTAAAAAGGGCTGAACACATTAACATTTGAAAACCTTGATTCGGATTTTAACCGTTCAATTGTTACTGAACCGAATCAGTGACCGTCGTACAAATCCCATAATCAATAATAATCGAAGGTCTTTCTTATGCGCTATCGATCGCATTTGTTTGTTGTGTACTTTAGAGAGCCTTGAAATGCATGTTAAATTAAGTGGTGGACAATTTCCATCAATTTTGCAGTGGACAAACGTTGATAGACGTCACTCGGATCATAAATATTTAAATTCTAAAGTGGCTACTGTATATCTTTTGTTAAATACAAATCTATACTAATATTATAAAGAGATAAAGCATGTGAGTTTATGACGTTGTAGAGAGTAATCTCTGGATCTACTCAAAATTGGCCGCCCGAAGCCCTTTACTTGATTAACGCAATCACAATATCTATTGGATATTGTTAATAATGTGAAAACTCGCACTTAACACACTATTTATTACACGGGATTCGAATAAATAACTACTTAGTCTTTAAAATTATCTTAATTTCTATCCGTTTTTGGACTGAATATCCCTTTGGGAATCAAACTTGGCGTTTTCATCATAAGTTAATGTTATTCAAACGTATATGCATTGTCAATTCAATAAAAAATACCTGGAGGTCTCTGTCCTGCATAACTCTGAGGAGGATAGCCTTGAGGCCCATAGCCCTGTCCTGGGAACCCTTGACCTGGTGGATACCCTTGTCCCGGAAACCCCTGCCCAGGATAACCCTGTCTAGGGTACCCCTGCCCAGGGAGGGCCTGTCCTTGGTAACCTGGAGCATAACCTTGTTGGTAGTTCTGAAAAAAGGGAAGAAGATAGGTATTACGGCTAGAATAAAAAATAAAACCTAAAGAAAGCTAGATAGGTTATAACAATACACATAAAACACTTAATATCAAACAGTTACAATTACATATAAGCTATCTATTTAATATAGCAATATAAGTATTAAATATTCCACTACTATTATAAATGCGAAAGTTTGTGAGGATGGCCACTGGAGGGATTTTGATGAAATTTGGTATGGTGATAGCTGGTTATCCGGGTCAACATATAGGATAATTTTTACCGCGAGAAAATATCTCATTTCTGAGAAAAAATACAAAAACTGCAATGTAAGAGTATACTAATATGTAAAACCTAAGAATTTGCTTTTTGGTCATCTGAACGCGGGCGGAGCCGCGGGCAATGCTAGTTATTAATTAATTAGGTACGTTTTAACGGTTAGTACGAAATACAAATCTTTGAATTTCTCAGCTTTTCTGTACTGTAACATGCGTGTATTATACATATAAACCTCCCTCTTGATTCACCCTATCTATTAAAAAAACCGCATCAAAATCCGTTGCGTAGTTTTAAAGATATAAGCATAGATAGGGACAGACAGACAGCGGGAAGCGACTTTGTTTTATACTATGTAGTGATTACACAATCTTCTCAAGACTTAGTTAAAAACAATTATAATTGCTTCTCAATTATCCACGATATTCGTTACAAATACGCAAAATTACGTAACCTTCTTCGTAATGAAGCTTCTTAGAAAGAAACCTCGTTAGTTGTAAATTCAAAGAGAGCGACCATTAATCTATACTAATACTAGCGACTCACCCTCGCTCCGCTCGGGTTCGTCCCTGGGGTGGGGTCTGGGAGGACCACCCTTATCCTTATCACTTAGGGGTATGGAAAATAGATAGTAGCCGATTCTCAGACCTACTGAATACGCATATAAAATTTGGTAAAAATCGGTAAAGCCGTTTCGGAGGAGTACGGTAACTAACATTGTGACATGGAAATTTTTTATATAAGATTTTAAAGAGGTAAAGTTTGTGAGTTTGTGAGATTGACCCTGGGAAGGACATAGGATACTTTTCATCCCGGAAATCATTCCTTGAGGTGGTGAAAATGGGGATCAAAGTTTGTAACGGGAAACAAGCTATAATATGCGTGATTTTGTGGATTTCTTACCCAAAAAGAAATTACATTAAAAATATTAGTTAATATATTCTTAATTGAAAAGCAATAATGATTATAAGAAAATTGTTTCGCCTTTATTTAAATCACACGCATATTCTCTATTGTGTGTGAGTTGTTTATCTCTTGATTATTCAGATCCCTTGCTCCTCCTTTGAAAGATTTGGTTAGATGTGGCTGAAGTGAGATTGTCAATTACTTTATTGGACTTTTATCCTCAAACTACAGTGGTTTGGTCTGTCCGATGAAATAGTGATTACAAAAAGTCTTATTAAGTACCTGTCCACCAGGATATCCAGGATATCCAGGAGCATTTCCAGGATACATGCCGGGTGGTGGGCCTCCGTGATGTCCTCCAAAATTGAAAGGTCCTCCAAAATATCCTTGTCCTCCAAATCGAGCTTGTTGCTGTTGAACATAATAGAAACATTTATTGGTCTAGGTAACCTTTAAACGAGCCGAAAAAATAAGATCCTTCTGGCCGAATCTCTCCCGTGACCATGGTTGCTGTAAAGCATTAGAAGCGTCGGGAACCAAAAAGTATATAGTTTTAATTATAACTAGCGACTGAGCCTCGCTCCACTCGGATTTGTCCTTAGATACGTTTTAACCGTTAGTATAGATTTTTCAGAGATTAGATATTTTCCTACAGTAAAAAGTATTCTATATGTTGATCCGGATAACCAGCTATCATCATACCAAATTTCATTAAAATCTGTCCAGTGGTTTTCTCGTGATGCATTCCCAGAGAGACAAAAATTATAAAAACTACAGATTCGGCCTCTGTATCGACAGTAATGACTATTTCAATAAGATTTTCCCAAAAATATTTAATGTACAAATTCGACTTGGTTATAATTTTATTATAAGTATACATACCTATGTGTAGATGACAATGAAATTTGATCCCACAGACAAACTGTGCAAACAGTTTTGTGGGTCCATTGCAAAATTAAAAGTATATCATATAGTGTAATAAAAAAAAAAAACAGATATATTCGCCGTACACGGTCACACTTGCTTATTTTCCAATACTAATTTTTCCATAATACAACATATTTACCTACCTTATTTCCCATACAATTACGAATTGATTATAATTTTTCTTGATCTCATTTTAAATATAACAAAATAAAATATAAAAATTTACGCTCCAGTAAGAGATGTCACAGAAATAGTCAATTTTGATGGAAAGAAGAAGCGATTGACATAAGATTGTTTCCAACTTTGTGCTAAGTTCACTCATGTCAGTAGGATCGTCGAAACAAATCTATCTATATATATAAAAGAAAGTCGTGTTAGTTACACTATTTATAATTCAAGAACGGCTGAACCGATTTGGCTGAAACTTGGTGGGGAGGTAGCTTAGAACCAGGAGACGGACATAGGATACTTTTTAGCCCGTTCGACTGCGTTCCCGTATACAAGACTCAAGAACGGCTGGACCAATTTTTATGATATTTGATTTTTTGGATTTCTCTCATTCCGGAATAGGTTAATACTACACTGGCTAATAACTATTTATATCTATTTAAAACGTACCTAGCGACGAACCCGAGCGAAGCGACGGTGAGCCGCTAGTAATCCCATGAAAAACATAACACGTAAAAAAATGCAAGTCTCGCAAAGCAGTTCTACTGCAAAAAGTTTTGAGACTTAATGTAAAAGACGATTAACATATTTAGTACCTAAGTATATATGAAAACATCTATCCAACAACTTTGTCATAAATTGTAGCTTAATTAGTTAAATAACAAAAGTTTATGGTGACCGTATCCATATTACATATCTTTTTTGACTGCCTCGTTGGTGTAGTGGCTAGCATGTACGGCTGCACACTCGGAGGTCCTGCGTTTGAGTCCCGGGTCGGGCCAAGTTTAGTTATTGAGTCTTTCTGTATAGTATGTCTCAGTAACAGCCCGGAGTTGGGAAGTTGGTGGTGTTTCACCCCCGTGCCTCGGAGAGCACGTAAAGCCGTCGGTCCTGCGCCTTAACTCTCACTGGTCGTGTCGAGCAGTCGTCCCACCAGAGTACGAGAGTGACAGGAACAGAGAGTGCCCTTGTGTCTGCGCGTACACTTGTGCACTATAATATCTCCTGCGCAGTTGGCTAGTCTCAATGAGATTAGCCGCCGTGGCCGGAATCGGCTAGGAGAACATCATCACATATCTTTATTTTTTTAATAAATAGAATGTACTCAACCACGACGCCCCGATGACAGGTCTGCCGAAGCAGACCACACAACCAAGGGGTTGTTCTCACGGTCTACTCTACTGTCATAGAAGTACCAGTAGCAACCCGCATGGAACACCGCCCACCAAAGTGGGCACCTTCCTGCGTGTTTCTTGGCTTCGCGTCCTAGTGTTTTGCCGGAAGCCAATAAGAACCACAACAGAGTATGACCTGAAGTAACATATAAGCTAGTGTTACGATGCAAGGCTAAGTAAGTTCTTATATTATAATTGTGAAAGTATGTATTCCATTTCCTTAAGAATTGGGCTGTTATAATCCGACTGGTAGTTCCAAAGATGAGCGTGTCGAAACAAACAAATTCTTCAACTTTATTTTTATAGTAAATTTGTACAACCAATTAGAAAATTGATTTGCATCATTCATACAGCAAATAAAAACTTAAAAAAAACAGACTTCCAGGCACTAAAATGTAAAAAATTACTAAACGGAGGTTTTTATTTAGAATAGATACCTAATCAGATATTTTCGAAGTCGGTGCCAGCCAATGCAAAGCAAAGCATATATCATATCTATTCTAAATGAAAACCCCCGTTTAGTTATTTTTTACATTTTAGTGCCTGGAAGTAGGCTTATTTTTTTAAGTTTTTATTTTTCCATTTTTAGTGCAAAGCAGGTAGTTTGTTCGTATCGGTAATTCGATTAAGCAAGTTATTTAAAAAAAAATTGTTGATGTTTTAAAAATCCGCTCGACCGATTTCGATAAAATTTAAATGGGACCACCTGGAAGTATAACTTCCGAAACAAACAAAAATCCAAATCGGTTCAGGCGTCTTCGAGTAATCGTTGAACATAGATGAAAACAAAGATTCCGACGAATTGAGAACCTCCTCCTTTTTGGAAGTCGGTTAAAAAGTAATGTTAATTTAAAGAATCACCTAGGGACGAACCCGAGCGAAGCGTAGATGAGTCACTAGTAAATAAATAAATTAAATAACTGTAGTCACGGTAATATTTCATACATTACCGTGGTATATAGTACTAGAATAACAATGTTATTTGTAAACAACAGAAGATAAAAAATATATTAATCAATAAAATAATACATTTTAATTTCACACAACTCACTCACTCACAATTAAAAATATGAGAAAAATAAACAGAAAAATTTATATTTTTTAGGGTTCCGTACCTCAAAAGGTAATAAAAGGAACCCTTATAAGATCACTCTTGTCCGTCTGTCCATCTGTCTGTCCGTGTGTCACCACCGATTTTCTTAGGAACGGGTGTACCTAGCAAGTTAAAATTTATACCAGATATTGAGGTCCATAGTCCCTATCTGGTGTATAAAAACCAAGGTCATGAGTCAACATGATAAAAAGATATGGGTAAATTTAGATTTTCGGGCATGGCATTTTATGGGCAAATTTTAAAACTTGTAAGTACCAAAATTTACCTTAATTTTCAACTACTTGACCTAGAATCACGAAATTTGGCAAAAAGCAAGGTCTTACAGCACAAATAAAGGAAAAATTCGAAAAAAGTTGAAAAATAAAGTTAAACAGTTTTCTTATACATTTGTAGGGAACCCTCAGTGGGCGAGTCCGACTCGCACTTGTCCGGATTTTTTTCCTATTTAGTGCCTTTTAAGGTTCCATTACATCATAATTTTCCGCCCCGCCGTAAGTTTCCTATACTTATGCGTAGTGTTTAATGCGCGGTTTCTCTGATACGTTCTCTCGTTTTACTACGTCATCTCGAGGAGATTTATTTAAAAAATCCTTTATTTGAGATTTTAGTGTTTAAATAAAATTAGATATTTTCATTTTTGTTGTGTAAAAGCTACATAATTTTATTAATCCCTCAACGACCTCGGACACGCCGGCGTATCAGTTAACAATAGATTTCTTAGAATTTTAATTAATTTCTTAGAAATATACCTGGAGGTATTAAGGATTTAATTTTTTAGCTGGATAGTGTATAGTTTTTCTATTAACAATTAGCTGATCTATATAAAAATAAATAAAATAAAAAAGCCTTTTATTTCTTGCGTCTACAAAAAATACATGCTATTAGCATCAATTAAAACATTTTTAAAATGTACTTTTTAATAAAATAATTTCATTTATATATACTAATACTAGTATACTAATACTTTATTTATACTTTCTTAATTTTTATAGTAAATAAATAAAAAAATGTAATAAAAAAATAACAACCATCTATAAAATATTACATAAAAAACAATAATTTACAATCTTTTTATTAATTATCTATTTTAATAACAATCATAAATAAATTAATAAAAACAAAATCAATATACAAAATTTCACAATTACCTACATGAAAAATGAAAAATGTAGCAATATATTTTCATTTAATATAAGGTGATATAAATATTATATAATAAATTATTGGACATTCCCAAAATTAATAAGTGTCATTAAAAATGCTGCTGATAAAATTATATCAGAAAATCTACATGTAATAAACTTTATCTGACTGTAATCAGTCCTCGCTGTTATAAAGTTTATTATTTAATTTGCTTGTATGAAAAGAATAATCGCTAGTGTAGCACTAAGCCGATTTCAGAATGTCTCCTAACAATATAAAACTAATCCCTCAACGACGGCGGACACGCCGGCGTTACAGTTAACTATAGATTTCTTAGAAATTTAATTAATTTCTTAGAAGTTTACCTGGAGGTGTCAAAAGTATAGTGCCATAAACTTATGTGACCCGGTAACGGCGTCGCTGTTGTTGAATTTAGTATTACTGGTAAATAGAATTTCCGCAGTTTTTAGGATAAAAATATCCCAAGTGCTCAAGGAGTAATCGAAATGTTGATTTGCTGTTTTAGTTATTGTTATTTAAAATGGTATAAAAAGGATTAATAATAAAAAACTCATTTTTAATGAATTATATTTTAATGTTATAATTATGATGATGTAGACAACCACCTTGGTAATTTAGAGGCTGAATTACAAGACAACACTTGACAATAAAATGTCATTTTAAAATGGCAGCACGTAGTTTCAGTTTTGGCCACCGGGTAAGATAGTTTTGTGGCGCAGAATTATTGCCGTGATAATAGCTATTTTTAAATATAAATTTAACTCAAAATCGACCCATAATTATAACTGTAAAAGTTTATATATATGTGTGTTTGTGTGTCAATCATACTGTCTACTGTCGTCGAAAGTATTTTACAAAATTATGGATTGATTAAAGAACTTTATAATGCTTTAAAAATTTACTATGTTTAATAGGTGATAAGGTTTCAATATTTTATTTTATTAGTGCTGTTTTCTTTTTAAAATTGTGAATAATATTAAACCTGTATAAATTGTTAACTTCCAAGTTAATGCACGCTGTATCCACCTTATTAAGGCAATGCATAAATTAGAATTATTGGTAAATTGTAATTTTATTTAACAATACTGTATTAATGTAATTATCACTGGTGGATCTAAATAAATAAATGAAATAGCCTTTGTAAATTAATCATTTTTCAAGACAATATTACTTGGTGGAATAATAAATATATTTTTATATAAATATAAAAATAGTTATTAAAAATGTTTGTCTGTTTCTCTGACAATTTTTAAAATATTTTGTTCGCCTCTAGGAAGACAAAAACAAACCTATCCCACGGTAACCGTAAATTTTTCCCAGATAAAAACCTAAAATATAAAACCTATGTGTTATTCCAGACTAATCTATAGCTGTACAAAATTTCATCCAGATCCGTTCAGCCGTTCTGGTGTGAAAGAGTAACAAACATACATCCATACTCACAAACTTTCACATTTATAATATTAGTATAGATTAGTAGCAAAAAAGTCGCTGTCGCTTCAAAGAAAACGCGGCTTAACTAGCCGCATTTTAAATAAAACTAAATTAGATCGCTGTACGAAGCCAGTGTGTCTCTGACCGTCCGCAAATATTCATATAGATTTAAATATTCTATTATACATTAAACGTCTTATTATTATAAAATGGCAAACGTACCTAAAATAGCTTTTAACAATGGAAAGACCTGTCCCGTTATTGGGCTGGGAACATGGAAGGTAAGTGTCTAATTTTATTATTTTCTTACATAATATGAAAAAAAAGGTTTGTCAGTCTGTTCATATATAGATCTATTACTGTGTGTGATTTTTATAAATCTCATTTTAGTTATTTAGTTAAGTTTTTAACCAATTTCCAAAAAGGTGGAGGTCAATTCGTCGGATTTTTTTATATGTATGTTCACCAATTATATGAAGACGCCTGAACCGATTTTGATTTTTTTTTGTTTCGAAGGGTATGCTTCCCAGGGGACCACATTTGAATTTTATCGAAATCGATCGAGCGGTTTTTAAAAAAATCAACAAATAATATTTTTTTTAAATAAATTGCTTAATCGTATATGTTATTAAAAAACTTTCTTCTTACAAATTACCTGCTTATTACGTCTACACTAAAAATGGAAAAACACAAACTTAAAAAAATAAAATAAAAACCGACTTCCAGGCACTAAAATGTAAAAAATAACTAAACGGAGGTTTTCACTTAGAATAGACACCTAATCAGATATTTTCGAAGTCGGTGTAAGACGACAATATTTTAAGATATGAATATCTAATAGGTAAATATATGTTTTACGTATCGAAATATATTAGATTTGCTTTGCATCGGCTGGCACCGACTTCAGAAATATCTGATTAGGTATCTATTCTAAAAAAAACCGTTAGTAATATTTTACGTTTTAGTGCCTGGAAGTCGGTTTTTTTTTAAGTTTTTATGATATATTTGATTACGATAGGTTAGCACAAAAATGTTGGCTAAAATTACGAAAATATAAATTCTGAACGGATTTAATAGCTCTGCCTTCATGGTACGTGGTAACGCGGTCGCTTGGGAAACTAAGTAAAGCGGGTTCAAATCCCGGGTCTCGCATCTTTCATGTGCGAATCATTTCCAACATGATCATCACTTGTCTTACGGTGAAAGAAAACATCGTGAGGAAACCTGCATGTCTGAGAGAACCTATGTCACGAAAGACATGCTCAGTCCGCTTGATCCCCTGATGGCCTGATCCCCCTCGTATTGAAGGGAGGCCCACCCCCAGCAGTGGGACGCTAAATACATACACGTACACATAAAAGGTTGTATTTGTATGGAAGATATTGCTTCTATTGATGAAACCGCTGCTAAGTGCTGTGCGTATTTTTTTATGTATATTTATCTTTCTTATATAAGTATATTTGTTATGTAGGGGGCTCATCTCCTCACTTGCTTCTTAAGTATAGAAATTATACATAAAAATAAACCAGTAAAATTAATATAGTAGCTTTGAATAACATTTTAATAAATTAATCAACGAATTTTCATATTGAAGGGGGAAATTTTAAAATCTATAAATAGGCAAAGACAAACAGATCAGTGCCTTTACTTCTCCGTTCATCGATTTTATTTATTTATTTACTAGCATTGCCCGCGTCCAGATGACCAAAAACCAAATTCTTAGGCTTTACATATTAGTATACTCTTATATTACAGTTTTTGTATTTTTTCTCAGAAATGAGATATTTTCCCGTGGTAAAAAGTATCCTAAATGTTGACCCGGACAACCAGCTATCATCATATTTCATCAAAATCCATCCAGTGGTTTTTCTGTAATGCGGTAACAGACAGACAGACTGACAGACATACAAAAATTCTAAAAACTATAGATTCGGACTCTGTATCGATAATAATGTCTATTTTTATTTTTTTAAACACACTATCTATCTACGTAACGGAATCTTTGAACGCGGTCTTTACCCACTTCAAAACATCAGATTAACTTGTTAGCGCACTTTCAAGGACCGATGACAAAAAATAATTTATTAAAAAAAATAAACATTTAAATTTGTAATTAATAAAATTTATTTAGTTAAATTTGGCATGCTGATATTTGTATATATTGCCGGTCAAACAACAGGTTACTTTTTATCCCGGAAAAATGAGCAGTTCCCGTGGGATAGATCTATTTGTACTTTTCTAGAGGCGAACCCGAGCGAAGCAAAGGCGAGTAGTGCCTATATACCTACTTATTATAAAACAAAGTCCCCAATCGCGTTTGTCTGTCTGTTCGAGCGTGATAAATTCAAAAACTACCGACCAGATTTTCGAATGATTTACATCAATGGACGAAGTGATTCATGAGAAAGGTTTAAGTATATAAGGTTTTGTTTAAATTGGCTGAAGTATGACAATGATTGTTGAAGATTTCGGAAAAAATCACGCCAACTGTGAGCTTTACTAGCGTGCGCCGGGTTAACATTGCAGGCGGAACCACGAAATCTATACTAATATTATAAAGAGGTAAAATTTGTGAGTTTGTGACGTTGCACGGGATAATCTCTGGATCTACTGAACCGATTTAGATGAAACTTGGTAAGAAGATAGTTTGAGACCCTGGGAAGGACATAGGATACTTTTTATCTCGGAAATCATCCCTTAAGGGGGTGAAAATGGGGATGTAAGTTTGTATTGGGAAACAAGCTAGGGACGAACCCGAGCGAACCGAGGGTGAATCGCTAGTGTTCTAATAAATGAAAAAAAAAATTGAATTTACTACAATGAAATCCCCGATGCATAATGTCTATCATCTCATCATATCTCAAATCGGGTATTAAATAATATTTTATTTGCGAAGGTGTTTTTACTAACATTGTGTCAATTCTTATCTAAATGTCAAAATATGTTAGATAACTTAAGTACTTAATTTATATTAAAGCTGACCTTTACACCATTTAAATTAGATAAAAGATATCACAGTGTTTAAATAACTCGCGAAAGGTTATCTGATACCTTTAAACGAGCAATTCTTGTATATTTATTTATTTATTTATACCGGCGATCTCGGAAACGGCTCTAACGACTTCGCTGAAATTCGGCATGTGTGAGTTTTCGGGGGCGAAAAATCGATCTAGATTGGTCTTATGTCTGAGAAAACGCGTGTGTTCGAGTTTTCATACGGTTTTCTTCTTTGGCATTATTCCACGCAAAATATAGTCGCTATATCGCACGCTCGGGCATAAGCCATAAGCATCGTGGTTTTTGGTCATCTGAACGCGGGTGGTGCCGCGGGCAATGCTAGTTTTAATAAAATTGTAACTAAGCCGAATCATACAGAAAAATTTTTTTGGAAGATCTTATTGAAACAGACATTATTATCGATACAGAGGCCGAATCTATAGTTTTTAGAATTTTCGTCTGTCTGTGATCGCGTCACAGAAAAACCACTGGACAGATTTTGATGAAATTTGGTATCATGATAGTTGTTTATCCGAGTCAATATATAGGATACTTTTTAACGCGAGAAAATATCTAATGTCTGAGAAAAAACACAAAAACTGCAATATAAGAGTATACTAATATGTAAAACCTTAGAATTTGGTTTTTGGTCATCTGAACGCGGGCGGAGTTGCTAGCAATGCTAGTTTTAAATAAAACTTATGTTTTTAGATTATTTCGTAGATTTATTTACAGTTTTGGTTCACGACGTTTAGTGTTATTAATTAAAAAAATCAACTAAATTTCGGACTTTTAATTGAATTTCGGAATTATTCTTAAAACAAAGTCTCATTAAATTCGGTTTACTAGTTTTTTTCACAACCAGATGATTTCAAAGTGCATAAATATTAGATAACTGTGTGAAAATTTAGTTTTAGAGCTCATGCGATAAAAAGGTTTGAATGCCATATGATGTTACGTTGAATATGTTAATGGATGAGTTTTTAAAAGTTTTCAAATTAGTGATTCACAGGACGTGAATTCATGTCTAGATTTTTAAGGCTACCTAGAGTGGTATATATATATATATATATATATATATATATATATATCTTATATATAAAATTTCCATGTCACAATGTTTGTTACCGTATTCCTCCGAAACGGCTTTATCGTTTTTTACCAAATTTTATATGCGTATTCAGTAGGTCTGAGAATCGGCTACTATCTATTTTCCGTACCCCTAAGTGATAAGGGTTGCCCACCTTAGGGACGAACCCGAGCGGAGCGAGGGTGAGTCGCTAGTATATATATATATTTATATTTATATATATATATATATATATATATCATGACTAAAATTATTAGTCACCTTAGTGCTTATCCAGTACTTATTACATTAATATTTATAATATGTATGTATTTAAAGTTATATATGTGTAGTGTATCAAGTATCTGGTATCCATAACACAAGCCTCGTAGCTTACCATAGAACTAGATGGCGCTGTGTGTTAATGTACCAACATATTTATATACATATTATTTATATTTATTTAATGTATCTACTAATAAAAAAATATATTTTTTAACGAACAAACCGGATTCCGATTGGACTAATATTAAAAACTCTTAAGGTAAATCGATCGTTAGGACAAATATTGTAAATTAGATATAAGTATTTCATCTTAAATATAATAGTTATAAAAGAAATATTGTAAAACTTAATTTATAATAGGTAGTTTTGCTGTAGGTTGTATGTATATTGTTGTTACTTTTAACTGCATAATTACTTGATGTTTTATTATGTGGTAACATTTAGTTATTTTTAAATTCATAATTTTTATATAATACTAGCATTGGCCGCGGCTCCGCCCGCGTTCAAATGAGAAAAACCTAATTCTTAGGTTTTACATATTACTAAACTCTTACATTGCAGTTTTTGTAATTTTTTCTTAGAAATGAGATATTTTTCCGCGGAAAAAGGTATCCTATATATTGACCCGGATAACCAGCTATCATCATACCAAATTTCATCAAAATCTGTCCAGTGGTTTTCTCGTGATGCAGTAACAGACAGACAGACAAAAATTCTAAAAACTATAGATTCGGCCTCTGTATCGATAAGAACGTCTATTTCAATAAGATTGTCCAAAAAATATCTAATGTACAGATTCGGCTTAGTTACAATTTTATTATATGTATAGATTTATCATATCCTGGTGGTAAGCTTTTATTTATTTATTGTAAATCTGTGGAAACTTGGTTGGTTTTTTGCATTACTTTTATATGTTTTAAAATATAATTA